GTTATTTGAGGTTAGCTTTTTAAAATGGACCCAAATCAGGTGCCCTTCTTCTCTATACCTGAAGACAAAAACATCCAGTTTGATTAAGAATATTAACTTTTATAATAGCAGACAATGGATAAAATCTAAAAACTCTGTAATCCAGAGTATAATATGCCACCATCAGAACCCTTTAGAATCAACTTGCAGAAGTACAAGCTTAAGTCATCCTGCCAGATGAAGTGTAATCTGCACATTAGAAGAATGTACATTTCCCATGAGCATTTGTAAGAGACAGCCAGAAAATTATGTGAGAATTCAAGTAAGGGAAGATATCTGGTTTCTAATCCTGCAGAAGTGATGAGTAGGTTCAGCATGAGAAGTCCCTATGTTTTATAGTTTACACAGCTTCCTTCACCAGTTACTGATGATTAACTCATTTAATTCTTGATGTATTGGTTTTACCTCGATGACTTGGACGCCCCCAACATGATCTAGAGAACAGTGCTTCATAAAGTACAGCAGTGATGGTAACAAGGAAATATTCTGTTCTGTTTAAACTCTAGCAACACCGTACCATCTTATCCTAATATAGCAGCCAGTGTTAATAATACTTGACTTTATGAGCACACCTTTTGCACAGTCTGATGGTGGCAAGGATTATAAACGTAGCTATGATGGAGTCTGGAATAGGCAGTCAGTTTTGTGTTACTGCATTTGGCAGGAATCTGTCTTCAGGTGCTGTGATGATGTTTTAACATTTAATTTACTTTATAAAGACATTTTATAAATGCCCTTTTAATGCAGTTTACAAAGATCATGCCATAAATTGTGTTACATTTCAACAAAAAGTTAATTCCAGTCATGTGATGGGTCACAATAAGCTTGTTTTAAAATGTAAAAGGGGAGGGATAAACTAGAGAACTGACTGGATGGTCAGACTCATTTATAATGACTGCATTTTTTATCCACATTAAGCAGCATGTTTATGGTATGTGATTTTAAGTCTATTCACCTTTTTATGGGTCATATGATTTATTGAATATTACTATCAACAAAACTTTACAAAAAAAAGAGCTAAACGTGGTAACAGCTGTTAATACATTAATGACATTTTGATTAATGTTTTACATTCAGGCTTAGCATATAATATACAAACATGTAATTTGTACAAACCATTAGAACAAGTTGAAATACTTTGCAACTTGATGTATTAGTTGATATAATGGATTTAATTCATAACCTCATAATAGACAGTAGATATCAATTATGCAAGTCTTTCATTATCACCATGCCAGTTACATAGGCAAGAATTTCAACAACATATTACTGACCTGTCTAGAAATATGTAACATATCAGAATCCATCTACTTCTACCTTTCAGTTACATAAACAACCCTAGAACCCATTAAAAGAACATCATACAAAACATATAAAAGAAAGTAACATTAATACAACAGAACAATGACCCACGAAGGAAGTAACTTATCAATCAGTCTCATTTTCAGCAAATGTGGCTGCCACATGGTGTAACTGAATGCAACTGAAATAGTACTTGTAATTAATTTGTTGTAAAAAAGTATGAAATTTTGAAATCATGACTATGCAGAATTATTACAATACAATTCTGAAGTTACTTCAGTCTACCAAATGAAAGAGGTGCATTCAGATAGAGTTTAAATAAAACTATTTTGAATTCCAAGAATATGTTTTAACAAAGTTCTTAAGAAGCCTAATCCTTGTGACTAAAATAAAGTCATGAATGTTCTAAATAAAAAGTATGGGAATTAATAGTATTTCAAGAATGCAATTACAATAATACACAGACTGCTAAATATAAGTCCCAGTGTTACTGGTAGAGATTCTCCTGTATCAATATTTTTTTCTGAATGCACAACTAGATGATATTAACAACACTGTAAGGCTTTATTACACTGTGAAAATGGTATCACAGCTAATAATTAATATTAATAGTTTTGACATTCTTATGCATCCTTCTTGAGTTCCCCAGCTCCAGCATCAACTTTAGCCTGTAATTTGTGATATTCTTCATTCAAGCGATCATACTCCTTATTTACAGATTCTGCTTGGCTCTTCAGTGCTTCTTTATCCTTCCTTTCCCATTCCAATGTCTTCTCTGCTTCAGCTAGCTTCTCCTTTAATTCTGTTACTTCTTTATCATGAGCTTCATTTGTGTCATTTTGTGCCATGCTGGTCTGATTCTGTGCCAACAAACTTTGTGCAGTAGTAGTTGCAGACTGTGCCTGCCGCATGAAAGCTTCACTCTGAGCCACAAGAGATGCCTGCTGTGATATTAGAGTAACCAATCGACGAATTACCAGAGACAAGAACAGGGCAAAGCCTGCGATATAAAAATTACGCTGGGCCCGAAATAACCTCATATTAACTTGCATTTCTGCATCAAGGTGTGCATGGGTTGCTTCTGTTGTCTCAGCACTGGAATATTTCCTCATCTCACGGATAGCATCCAAGAAAAAAAGGACAAGTATTGCTAAAAGCACAAGGAAATAAATGAACGCCTGATTATTTAGAGCGTGTAGAAACCGCGACTTGAAGAGTTTATTCCACCTTTGAGGTGATGCAACTGGCAACACTAGTAGTAAAACGACGACTATTTCGACGTACAAAAACGTAGCAATGATTGTCCACTGAAGACTCATGTTGATTTATAGTAAGAAATTTATACAGTTATTACACCGCAGAATCCTCTACGTGTTATGATGATCACACAACCAAGACACTTCAACGCCTACCACTACCTACAAAAACCTTGAATCATTCCTTTGCAGAGCCAATAATAGAGTCAAGATGGCTAAGCCTGTGTATGCTTTCATTTTAGACACTTGAATTATCCGAGTCACATCAATGTGTTACATCTACATGCAGTGCACTCCATGGAATGTTAATTTAAAGAAATCGTTTAATTTTCAAGAATTTAATGAAAAGTAATCCTGATAAATATATTGAAAACGTTTGGATATCAGAATTTTTAAATTTTTCTTTGCAAACTGTGATATGTTTCTATAATATTATTATAATCTGTGTAGATTAAGGTTGAAGTTAACTCCGTTCATGGAAACAAACATTAATAACCATGTGTGGTGGTGATGTCTTATTATCTGTGCTACCTCGACTATTGCCATCTGGTATAATCGTATGAAATCATATGTAGGAGTTGGGAAGTTGATTGCAGATTTACTTTCATTATGAATACAGAAACTGTTATTTTAAATACTGAGATGGAACATAAGGAATTAAATTGTGAGAATATAACTGGATTGAACTGGCATTAAATGAGGTTTTGTGGTGCACTTTCGTGTTCTAGCAGTGCTGAACCTGCAGGTTTTATTACTAGAGATTTTTAGTTATTTAGTAATGAATCAGTGTTGTATCTAAAATGAATTAAACAGTTCTGATAGCTAAGTGATGTTCAACCCCTACTAATAGAAGGTCTTTATGTTCAGTCTGTTGCTGATGCGGTCCGAATTGGAGCACAGGATGAGTGGACCATCAAGGTGCAGAGACCTGGTTCTTTTATGTGGTATATACATCTTATGGCCGGACCTGTATATATGTAGTGGATGGTTCATCAGTTCATTGGAAAAAGAAAAATTAAGGTATTGGTCTTGATACCAGGATAGCTAAAAATGTTGATAAGTTTTGAGATTTTCAGTAAACTTATTTATTCAGTACAATTTATTTCTCTGGATATTTAATCTGTAATGCTTGAGATAATCATATTCTTCACATAAATTTTATTATGGAAGGAAATTTTGTGAATTATACTCTTGTTAGTCATGTTATTAAGTAGTTACATCAAGGAGGTTAATGTGGACTTGAGAATTAGTTTTGATGGGAAGAACAAAAGAAATGTGCATGGAATTTAACAAATATGGAAAAGCAGATAAAGAAAATGGGAGGACAATATAAGAGTGACTTGTAAGTGAATACATTTTGGTAATATGGACTGGATGTAACTTGTTCTATATAAAGTTCAGTGGTGGGATATGTTATCAGGTTGAAGGACCAGAAAATGAGAGTTGTCATCATGTTCATCATTTCTTTCTCTAAACTGTGATGAGGACAAAAGTAATGTCACTGTTGGTCTTCTGGATATTAGCACATTGTAGACTTGCAGGAGGATACTGACATTTTGAAGGAACACGCTACCTCTGTCTTCAGCCTTGCTGTCTGTCTATACCTACCCATTAGTATGATCTGCAGTAGTGACTTCTACATGTTTTGTTATGGTTTCAATAGTGTCCTGTGGAGTTACTTTTCCAGTGGTTTGTGGACGCTGTGGCATGTTGCGCCGTCTCTCCATTCCAGCACTGCTGATCACATATGAATCATAAATCATTATGTAATGACTTCTGTTTTATACATTATAAAACAGGGAGTCCTATGTAACTTGGAACCCACCTACTAGCATGTGATGGCTATGTTTTACATTGTGACTAACTCATTTCCTGGTAGTTTGCTCGCTGTTGCTGTAGCATGCTGTCATGTTGGGTTCCATGTTAAGTGGGACACACTATAAAAATGTGGATAAATTCCTCAGAATTTTAGGAGCTTGCCACCATTAGCTATTACACACAGCCTTGAATTACATCTCAGGTTCACTTAATTTATTCATAGTCTTGATTGATTATCCTACTATACTGACAGTATACTGTCCCTGTCACATGACACTTTATGTGTAAGTTCTTTGCATTCTACTGTACCTGAACAAGTTGGTCGTGTTGTGATCCTGTATAAGCTGTTGCAGTATCTGACACATCATAACTGGTACGTCATTAGCTGATGCTGCAGTATGACTTCCGAGTTGTTTTCTCAAAGCCATCACAGCAGTTTTGCATTCTGTCTCCCCTAGCTGTGCAAAACACATATCTGTATCATTAGTAACAAATACTTGTATATCAGTCAGGCAAAGTGAGGTTATCAGATATCCTTGTGTATGCTAGAAGCTGATGTCATATAAAGTGGAATTCTTCCATAGGGGCAGTTCCACCATAGATGTAGATTCCTTTGTTCTAGCTAGACAGCTGAAGTTCTCATAAAACTGATAACACTTAGCAGTATACTGCAAGCAGGTCTGTTCTTGCCTGGATGATGAATTAATGACTGGTATTCAATATCACAGAAGCATTGACACAGAAGTATGTTAATGTGAAGCAAGTATTAGTTTATTTTCCCAGGTGGCAGCTAAATGGTGTTAACTGCACACTGACTACACATTATGCGTTGATCTTCTTATCAAAAGTTGAGAACATTACACTTTGTATGGATTGTAAATGATTAAATATGCTGTAATTTGTAATTTTCAACTTTTCTGAAATGCTGCTGAAATGTATTATTTTTCCATGTGTGCTAAACACAAAATTTAACAAAGTCTTTCAGAGAATAATGACTGGATTCTATCACATGCAGTTAGACATTTTAATGCCACCAAGAAATTGTTTCTTGCTCAGTTGATCAGCCTTCAATTTACTGATACATATTCAGCATTTCATTAAGAATTCCACCTTTGTCGTCAGTTCCTCCAGTTTTTCCTCGTCCACTGGTGATAGTCGCGGCTTCTGATACAGCCAGCTGTAGTTAGGACGTCCACCGTCTTTTTTGTTAGACTTGCTGAGTATAAGCATCTGGTTCTTCACCTGGTTATGGCATGGAAACACAGAATGATCTAAGTAGGATTTGATGTTCTTATGTTGGTGAGTACAATGATGGGTATCTTCTGGGTTGTAGTGCCATGTAGTTTGATAGAACTTTACCAACGTTTCGGAGGCCCTTGCTGCCTCCTCGTCTTCATGATAATGGAGGCAGCAAAGACCTTTGATGCACTGGTAAACTACTAGACTACACAGTATTATAACCCAGAAGACAGCCATCTTCATACAGTAATCTAATTATTAAACTTGCTATAACTGCAATAATCATCCAGAAAGTAAAGAATTCAGTTTATTGGTTACATATGCATTACTTTTTTACATAATATTTTTCTCAGTAACTTTACCCTATCAAGAAATGAGTATGTTGTGCTGGTAGAAATCTTGTCCAACCTCAGCTTATCCGCGTACTTCTGATATTCTCTGTTTTTATGTCCTGACCAAAGGTATTTATGTTCACAGTAACATTTCCATGTACAGCCTGTAGTCTTTGAGAATGTTTTCTGCTGACAGAGCTTCATTACAGCATGTTGCTTTCATGTCTAATTCCTAGGGTGATATCCATTGGAATAGTGTGTGGCCTTGTATCCAGAAGTGGGAACATGAAATGTTATAACTGTGAAAGTAGTATTGTTTTCTTAAAAGCTACTTTGGGACATTTTTTCTAGGTGGGTCTTATGAGTATCCATAACATGCAATGTTTTGCACTTTGTTTTGAAATGTATATTTACCTATGTTGATAATGCTCACCTCGGTCAGGATTTCGTTACGAAGATGTTGTTTGTTCCATGACATTGTCTCTTGAAGACCACCTCAGACACCTGGAACACTTCAAAATCTTATATCAATCAGTTGTTCATTTTATTGAATGTTTTTGGGTGTTTGTAATTTTTTTAATGTTTCGTATACTTTTATGTGGATTTCATAAATATGTGGAGCATGTGTGTGTATATGAATCACATGACCAACATTAACACATACAGAAGTTATGATGCCTAAATATTGTTCTGCCTGAAAAGACTTTTAAGATTGGTGTGAATGTTCAGTTATTTTGTTTTAACACAGCAATTCCCATCATATCATAGATAATTAATTTGTATGAAATTTATGCATGAAATTCAAGAAATGAACATAGGATGGGGGTGGTATGATGTCTCTTAATTTTGCTCGTTTCATCTCCAAAACTGCTGACCATATTTTTAAGTTATGGATTTAGTTTTTAGAGAATTTAATTTTTGATTTTACAGGCCTAATATGTAATTCTCTTTACATGAAGCTTAAATACATTTTTTAGTTCTAAAAAAAGTTTAGTACAAAACATTGGTACATGACAAGACTACGCCTTTTTCTGTTATGATAAATATTTAATAAAATATAATGGAAAATAATCTCTAACTCTTTACAGTTGCTTTGCAACAATATGCATGTATGTACAATAAATGAACATTAAAGCTAGTGAGGTATATAAAATTACAAAAACAAAAACACATTCAAAAATATGTGTGCTCATATAGAGTATAACTATATACTGTCATATTGTGTGTTGCTACTTACCCTGTTCAAAGCAACTGACTGCGCTTTGCCCCCACAGAGTTAACAAAATCTGGAAGAGATGATACGGTCCTTTGAGTATATGTTGTTATATTATCTCACTTGCTTCCATAATTTAATTAAAAAGCTGAATGGTAAAGTGAAGTATATTTTCATTAGTTTACATTGCTTATCAGAAGCTTCAGAATTAATTAATTAATTGCAAACAGTGGTATTATCTGTGTCTAAATTTGACCAATCTTCTGTCATTTCAGAAATACATGTCTGATATGATTTCAACCCAATTTTACAGATGCCCACTCATTTTTCATGCTCAGAGAGAAGTGTACTTCCTGTTTAATCCTCCCTAAATTTTATTCATAGTAAATGTATCCTGTGCCGATGACTTTCCTGAGTTGTAGTTGTTGAGAAATATATTTCTGAATTCAGCTTTGGATCTGTGTTCATATCCGCTTCAGAAGAAGTAATTTAAGTAAGAAAGGCCTTGTACTTTGTGTGGAATATGCTATTTTATTATATACAACTGGGAAATTATCTCCTTATGGATTATGTGGATTTCATAAATATGTGGAGCATGTGTGTGTATATGAATCACATGACCAACATTAACACATACAGAAGTTATGATGCCTAAATATTGTTCTGCCTGAAAAGACTTTTAAGATTGGTGTGAATGTTCAGTTATTTTGTTTTAACACAGCAATTCCCATCATATCATAGATAATTAATTTGTATGAAATTTATGCATGAAATTCAAGAAATGAACATAGGATGGGGGTGGTATGATGTCTCTTAATTTTGCTCGTTTCATCTCCAAAACTGCTGACCATATTTTTAAGTTATGGATTTAGTTTTTAGAGAATTTAATTTTTGATTTTACAGGCCTAATATGTAATTCTCTTTACATGAAGCTTAAATACATTTTTTAGTTCTAAAAAAAGTTTAGTACAAAACATTGGTACATGACAAGACTACGCCTTTTTCTGTTATGATAAATATTTAATAAAATATAATGGAAAATAATCTCTAACTCTTTACAGTTGCTTTGCAACAATATGCATGTATGTACAATAAATGAACATTAAAGCTAGTGAGGTATATAAAATTACAAAAACAAAAACACATTCAAAAATATGTGTGCTCATATAGAGTATAACTATATACTGTCATATTGTGTGTTGCTACTTACCCTGTTCAAAGCAACTGACTGCGCTTTGCCCCCACAGAGTTAACAAAATCTGGAAGAGATGATACGGTCCTTTGAGTATATGTTGTTATATTATCTCACTTGCTTCCATAATTTAATTAAAAAGCTGAATGGTAAAGTGAAGTATATTTTCATTAGTTTACATTGCTTATCAGAAGCTTCAGAATTAATTAATTAATTGCAAACAGTGGTATTATCTGTGTCTAAATTTGACCAATCTTCTGTCATTTCAGAAATACATGTCTGATATGATTTCAACCCAATTTTACAGATGCCCACTCATTTTTCATGCTCAGAGAGAAGTGTACTTCCTGTTTAATCCTCCCTAAATTTTATTCATAGTAAATGTATCCTGTGCCGATGACTTTCCTGAGTTGTAGTTGTTGAGAAATATATTTCTGAATTCAGCTTTGGATCTGTGTTCATATCCGCTTCAGAAGAAGTAATTTAAGTAAGAAAGGCCTTGTACTTTGTGTGGAATATGCTATTTTATTATATACAACTGGGAAATTATCTCCTTATGGAGGAAGCTCAGAATTGTCACAGTATTTTCTTTTTTTTTAGGTTTGTGAATGTTAATTGAAAGTTAGAAATTTATGGTAGTAGAGTGTTTATTTTGGTTTTTATTTACTTGTTATTTTTCTCTCTCTTAATCTATGACCTGTGGTATTTTCCAATTTGCATAAATAATTTTTATGAGACTAATAGAAAATTTCTATGAACTTTATGTGCTATTTTCATGGGGTCTCTTTGCAAAATATTCTATCTGCAAACTTTAACTTTGCATTTGATGGTGCTGAGTCAATGTGTATGTGATTTATGCCAGTTTTTCATTAAGCATTTGGTTTTATTGTGGCAGGTGAATACTTTTTCAAATATGAGTAACTGTTAGTTCTGCCTTATTGTGACTTTATATTAAAGATAAGGGCATCTATGGAAATGCTGTTTATGGCGTTTAATAATTGTTTATCAGAACTGATTCTAATTTTCTAGATTAGATATGAGAAGCCTATGGCATACACTCCAGAAAGTTTATAGTGTTCATTTTGCTTCACCCTTTTGCCATCCCTAAAATGTGTATTCTGTGTTTTAAAAGTGTACCATAAAGATGTTGTATACATTATCAGTTCCAAATTACTTGTTATAAATTAAATGATACTTGTTGAATGTATATAATGTGTATCATTGCACACTTTCCTAATACTTTCATACTGCTAACATTTGTAACAGTGTGTTTTAAATTCTGTATTTTCAAAGGGAGTTTATTTATCAGTTCTTGCAGTAAAGGCTTAAGTGTTACCTTGAAATAGACTGTATTAGATAGACTACAATAAACATTTTCATTTTATGTCTCCAAACTCATTGTTCATAATAAAGTGAGCACTTTTTAACTCCCACAGTTATTAGGGTCATTAAATTAAGAATTGAATGAGATGGGATGGTTCAGCCTTAAATAAACTGGATGCCTGGGGATCAGTTACTGGTGAGAGCAGGGATTTTTTCTTTTCCACCACCTTCAGACTTCCTTCTGCCCAGTGCATGCTGGGAGCTTTCAGTCAGGGTGTAAATCCACTAACCTCCATTTAATGTCTAGGTTAAGAATTTATTGAACTGACCTCCATGCCCCCTATGCATTGTTATGATTTGCAGATATGGGGACAGAGTTATCTAAGCAAAGCAAATCCAGAATGTAATATTCACTTTTTTGGACAATGTTGTGTAGTTTTTTATGTAATTGGAGGTTTTGGATATTTGCTTTCTTAAAAGTTTAATATTCATCTGCCTTCAGTGTGAAGAAGAACATGCAGAATTAGACCCTCTTACATATGAATAATTGAAATCAGGCTAGCTGCTGTGGAGAATCTCTATTAATAGCCTGTTTGCAAGTTGAAACTGATTATATTATTTATAGCCTGTGTTTAGATTACTGTGTTTTGATGAGTAAGACCAACTGTGTGGGAGAAATATTTCTTCTCCTCTCCTCTCTTGAACATTCAAGTGTACAGACGTAGACTGGATAAAGGTTCATATTACAAAAAACTCTCAAAGAACTGTTTTTTAATTGGACACCAGCAACTGTAAGTTCATATTTGAGTAGAAATAAGGATAATATGCTGTAAATGAGGTTCGCTGTTTTGTATTCATGAGGGATTCAGGGTTGCTTTTCTGAAATGACAGTAATAAATTCAGCTAACTCCAGCACAGCAATGGTTCTGTAAACCACTGAGAACTATTTACTTATTTCTCAGTGGTTTACAGAACTTTTATTGTACTGTAAGTAACAATATGTGTTTGATTTGAATTTTATTTTATTTTAATGGAGTTTTATGTATTAGAATGACTTGTTCATGTTTTATTGAACAACATTGTCAGTATCTCAGAACCTCAAGACTATTTGCTTTCAAGGGAGTAGCACAAAAATGTGTCAAAGGGGGGGTGGGTTATATCTTACATACTTGAAGGTTACTGAAACATTGTCATCGGAGATGCTTAGAATTGGGTATGGGGTCTACCAGTTCTTTTGTCCAAAGGAAAGTGAGTGTTATTAAGGAGTAAAGCAACCAGATTGTCAAGCTGGTGGTTCACCTCTGTCTATATATGGAGCTGTACCTCCTTGCCATCATGGGATGATGCTTGCCTGGAAGGTCTACTCCTTTGGAATCTCAAACTGTTTCATTCTAATTGCAGGTTCTATGAATGCAGTTTTTGAATTAACTACTGACTAAAGTGTCTTTTTTGCTATGAATGCAGTTTTTGAATTAACTACCAACTAAAGTGTCTTTTTTATGTCAGATTCAGGTTCAATAGGCTTAGAACTTGACCTTGTTTAAAATGGATCTCTCTCTGGATGGGCTGTACCGGGCTGTGCTGAGAGGCCTGCAGGTTGGGCTTGGGTCTGCATTAACGCTTGTCATTGTGAAGACTGCAATAACACTCCCCGGTCTGCAGAAAATAAGTCCACTTGCTGTGTTCTTCACTGGCATATTGCTGGGAATTGCATTTGCCTTTCAGCAGTGTGTTGGTGCAACACGCAGCCAGCTGAATCGTGCGTAAGCCATGATGTGTGGACGATATAGGTTAACTGTACCTTACTGCAACTACATCTGTTCTCATTTCTCATGTAATTGCTATCTAAATAACCAGTTTGACCACTTCATTTAAAATTGCGAATGATGGAGCTGAAGGCAGAAATGGTTATATAGAACATATACTGAGTTTTACTACAAGTGCTTGGTTGTTATTTATTTTAATATAGCAAAATCACTTTGTAGAGTGATTTGAACCAATTGTGTATATTATTTCTTTAAATTATTTAAACTGGAAAAGATGTTAAATATTACTTCAAACTAAGCAGTAGGACTGGTAAGTGATTGTGGTATATTTTGATGTATTTGTTTCTGTGACTGATGGAAAACTGCAAAGCAATTTCAATAAGTGTAAGTTGGTAGGTGTATGTTCGTGTTTGTGAGAGATTTGTTTTTGAATTCAGCTTGCCAAGAATAGTCGGGTCTATTAAATTAATTTGTTTCATAGATTGTTATGGTACATTTTTATTTGTAGTTTGTCAACATTGGTGTGAATCAGATGACCTTTATTGATTGGTGAAGCAATGATGTCTTTGTTACAGGTGTCTCTAAATGGAAAATCTGTGTTGGTTACTGGTTGTGATTCAGGATTTGGATACGAACTGGCACTTCGGCTAGAAAGAATGGTAGGACGTTTTTATAATTAGAAACAGCCTTTATTAGGGTAATTGTACAGGGATAAATATAAACAAATATAATTTTTCTGGGAAGGGAATTGCTCATTATTTCAATGTATGCATTTTTCCCAGTAATGAAATAGGTCTCTGTTTCCACCTTACTACTATTATTACTGCTTTACCACCATTCTGCTGGTGTTGTGGTATATTTTCATAGGGCATTGTCATGAAATTACTTTCTGAAAACAGAGTTCCAATGTCATGTTCTTGTATAGTCAAATTTATGACGTGGCATAGGAAAGTGGAATTGTGTTTGCAGGGGGCAGTAGTGTTTGCAGGCTGTGTGAAAGCCCAAGAAGGTGGTGCGAAGGAGCTGAAAGATCTTAATCTGAAGAGGCTTCATGTCATACAGTTGGACGTGACATCTGACGAACAGGTTGCAACTGCTACTGATTACGTCAGCAGGCACATTCCACCTCAAGGTGATTTTATTTTGATGTAGCAATTAGTTATTTATATTTACTTGGGGTTTATCTAATGATGCTATCAGTAGCTCAGACTATAGTGTAAAATGATAGGATGTTTACTGAATAATTCATTGTAAAGAGAATGGTAGGACGCAGTCTTGGCATAATTTAAGCTACTGTCTCAGCATTTATTTGGAGGAACTGAGTAAAACCACTAAAACCTGCAGTCATAGATGGATGAGATTCGTACAGACGTCTTTCATTATTATACGCAGCAGAAAATTTGGTCTGTTGATGATTGTAATGATGTGCTTTCAGGACTGTGGGCAGTGGTGAATAATGCTGGACTGAATGCATTTGGTTATGTAGAATGGGTGCCCATCACTACATGCAAGAAGGTCATGGATGTTAATGTATGGGGTGCAGTACGGGTTATTCATTCTTTCCTGCCTCTTCTCCGTGACACCAGAGGTTTGAAGCTTTCATTCAGCAGGGTTATTAAATCATAATTTTTATTACTATACTGAAATTTCACTGGGTTTTGTAGGTTGGTTTGACATTTCGTATGTGGAAAATGGCCTTCATGATAACACTTTGATAAACTGCTTGAAAAGTATGTAATTTTAAATAATTGTTGAAATAACAAAGTTTTTGTGATTGATGTTTGTTACAGGTAGAATAGTGAATTTGTCCAGTGCACTTTCCCGTTTCAGTTTGCCCAACAGATCAACATATGGAATTACTAAGTATGGGATACAGGCTTTGTCAGATTCTCTGAGGTTTGAGATGAAGCGCTGGGGAATTAGTGTTTCAATCATTGAGCCTGGAAGTCTTGTCAGTGGTAAGAGAAAATATAGAAATTTTTCTGAAATTACATAACACAGTTGCTGATTGTGGCTTTCTATCGTGAGTGATTGTCATTTTCATGTTATAGGCATAATAAAGGTGAACATTTAAAATAACATGCCTGTAGACAGTACTCTTCATACTTACCACTGTGAGAACCTGAAATGTCACATTTAAGATAATGTTGATTGATGATCTGTGTTACAGGAATCTTCACTGAGGATTCAGTCAAGAAGCAGGCTGCTAACCTGTGGAACCAGATACCTGAAGCAGTGCAGAAAGTGTACACTAAGGAATTCTATGATAATGTTGTTGGGAGCATGCTGAAATACAGCACTAAGGGAGTGAGTACATAAAATCACTAAAAAATAAAGGGTCAGTGCAATGGGGCGTTAAGGGTGAGTGGGGAGATGACTTCTGAACAAGGATGTGTAATTTGTAGGGGAATGGTTTGTAATTAGGTCAGTGTTGTATGAATAAGGGGCAGTACTGGATCGTGTTCCATCAGTGAAATCCAGAGAATCACAATTTTTGTACTTCGATTTTGAATCCTTTATGTTAAGGCCACAAGTGTGTTTATACTTTATTATAGGAAGACAGGACATTCTTTGCTGTAAAGAATTTTGTTATGGTGAGATTTTATTTTTCTTTGTGGTACTGTGCCCATACTGGTTCTTGGGTCTACCTAGCCTCCCTCCTACTGAAATCTTGAATGCATTGTGTGTTCGGCCCCACACTACCGTGCACCTTCATGGGTTGGTTAATGAGGAGCTCCATAATTTATGCTCTTCACTAAACATTATTAGGATTAAATCAGTAGGATGAGACGAAGTGGTAATGAAAGTTCTGGTTTCATAATAGGTGGAAAATTTCTTGCTAGTTGTGCAGCTGTCACTTTCTCCACGAATCAGCTTCGTGGAAGTACGATGATGGTGATCGAAGTTTTCCTATAGTCCCCTCTTTTCCCCTCCCACATCCTTATTTACACTTGGCTGTCATGTGAAACAATCAACTTAATCACTTTTCAAGCTGTAATCTGCCTCTACTTTATATTGCCTTTAGTACACAGGCACCTTCGATGAAATTGTGTTTCAGGCAATTCCCAAAGCTCCTGTGGTAGATGCATATGTAATGGCATTGGTGCACCGCTACCCTCATCCCCGTTATCAGCCCATGGAACTGAAAATGAAGATAATGGCTTGGGTGAACACTCACCTCCCAGAATGGGTGTTTGAGAGAATTTTTACGTAGATGTATGCCACCAAGCTACATAGTGCTAACAGAAGCCCACCTGGTTATGTCAAGAAGGCGGGACAGAGAGGTTATTAACAAATGATTTTTTTTATTTATAACACTGTGAAAGTTTTGAACTGTGGTTATGATAAATCAATGTTCTTAGCTTAGGACTACAAAAGGGTATTGGTGTTAATAAATATTACGAAAGGTGATGTGACAGTAAAAGGGTACTATTGTCAAACAAGTATGTGTTCCGGGTCTGAAGGGGTTAAAAAGAATTGATATCCGAGTGCTTTTGTTATATCTTCTTTTTCTCAAGCTCTGCGGTCCACTGTGAACTTTGGCTTCCTGCACAATTCCTCTCCAGGCCCAACGATCCTTAGCTACAGAGTGCCAATTTTTAATTCCCATAATTTTCAAATCTCCTTCTATTTCATCTTTCCACCTTTTACGTGGCCTGCCTCTCTTCCTTACTCCTATATTAGTTATCATTATATTTTTTGGCATTCGTTCCTTCTCCATTCTTGCAATGTGTCCGTACCAGCTTTTGTTATATCTGCCTCACAAAAGTTCGTGAGCACTCTTGAGGTGAGTATTGAAGAGATTTAACTGTGCATGTGCTAGGAGTCTGGAGGCTGGGTCACAGTGGGTGCTTAAGAGGACATCTTATGGCATTAATGCAGATACAGCCATACAGAGAACCCCGTGAAGAAATACAGATCTATCACAGAAATTTTCTTCATATCCGAGGGCTTGGCAAGGGGCACCATGTATTATTGTACGGTAGAGTTTTGTCAGAATAACTTGTGTTCAGCTTCAGAGTGTATAGTTTATGTTATATAGTACAGTAAAGTGGTTGTTATAGTAACTCATCTAATCTTGGAAATATAGTGCAGTAGACTTGTTGGAAATTCAGTTTCCCTCAGCAGGACAAACACATAAAATACAATATTTGTCATGAAAACTTGGCGTAGCTTGGAAAGATACTTTCTGTATGCAGTCTGTATATAAGTAGAATTGTTTCAAGCTCAATAATTTTGCCTTTCAGATATTCTGTTTTCTTATTCCTAGAGATCCTAACATTTCAGGTTCTATAAATCAAAATTAAATTTGCCTTACATCATTGACTGTAGACACCCAATGTGTAGACAATCATGATGATCTTCCCTGTGTGTTATAACACTGTGTGAAGAATACACACAGAGTCTTTATAGTCTGTTTCAACATGGAAGTACAGATGCAATGAGATATTTGAATGTTGACTCACGTTATCATGTCTGCTCGTAAACAAGGGTGTTCAGTTCACACGTGTGGATTGTAATCTTGAGCTTGAAGTTGGTAAACTCAGAACAGAATCCAGTTTGGAAATTTCTTCAAGGTCAAGAAACACAGGTAAGGCCAAGGCTGTGTTTAGATGGAATTACAGATTCATATTCTCCATGAAATGTCTGGGACAACACAGAAAAATAGACTTGTGACAGAATGTAGTTAGAAAAGAAACCTTTGTTAATGAAAAGAACAGTGCACATATGTCAGCATTGTTAAATAATGTAAGGATACATATAGATATTGAATTAGGTAGTTGCATTTCTTGCACAGCAGATATAATGACTATCACCATGACTCAAATATAATAACTTCATTTGTGTATAGGTTATAGTTTGTGAAAGTGAGGTTGGTAGGAAGGAAATATTTTATAGTAGGCTTTCTAGTCTAGTGTAGTTACTTGTTCTGCATTTATAGCATGTTCCCTACTGTGTGTACACAAAACATCGGTTTTTGTTATCTTGTTTGGATGAGTCGCCTATGAAGGTATGAGACAAGTATGTATTTGTCCTTTTCTGATACTCTGAGTTTGAGTTCTGAGATATTGTTTTCTCACATAGTTAGTCCAAGGACATAAAAATAGAAGCACATGATAAGCTCTTATAACATTTATAAAACATGGTTTCTATCATTCCGTACTTGTATATGTGATGAATGGTATGTTTGTGTAACATTCAGTTTATTATTAAAGAGGATAGGCATCTGTTCCATGTCAGGTAAGTTTTTTTACTTAAAAGGAATGTGAAATTGTAATTATATATTAAAGCAGCCAGAATAACTCTGTCCATGAAGTGATTATATCACTGGGTTCCGTTCCAAGTAGAGGTAGGAATTTTTCTCTTCACCACTGGGTCCTGACTAGCTGTAATGGTTCATTCAGCTTCCTATGAAATGAGTTTTCCCCAACGCATGAAGCTGGCCGCTCACATCCATCAAATGACGAGGTCTAGAATGCACGGAGGTATACCTCCAAATACCGTATACATCTTCATGGTATGGTAATTGGGGACAGGGTTTAAAATAAATATGCCACATTATTAGAAGAGTGTAAATATGTGTTATTTATTTGTTCAGGCATGGGATTTGTTTTCAGGATGCACTCAGTTTGAACTCAACCAGTGATTGCTGTGCTGACATCAGTTTTTCAGGTCTTAAGTTTGTCCAGGTAAACTCCAGTACAGTACCTGAAAACAGAACCCACATTATTACTCACAGTTTATATTCATCTTGCTCTATATCTTTCATTGGTTGATATTTTAAAATAATCCATCATTATCCAAACATATTTTTATTTGGTGAAATTTCTGGTTTTCTTGGTGCAACATCCCAGAAGACAGTCAACATCTAAATTTTTATTTAATTACTTTCTCGTTTACACCGGTTATACAGTATCAAATGAGAGGTTAATGTTTGAAGATTTCTGTCTTCTGGGTTGTTGCGCTGTGTAGTCTGGTTGAAGTTAACCAACGTTTCAGAGGTCATACTGCCTCCGTCATCACCGCTGTGAGAACCTCAAGTCTTACAGGTTAATGTTTAATTGTGAAAAACAGATAATTATATGGTGATGGCCTGTTTCATCACACTGTCTCAGGGCTCACATGAAGGGACTGAAGCAAACAGCAGAAACGTGTGAGGATGTCTAGTTTTGGATTGAGAATTGCATTCATGACCCCCTGAATATGAACAGGGTTTCAGGAGTACCACAGTGTTCAGTCCCGTCATTTCTCTTTACTTTAACACTACGAGTGTACAGGTAGAGCAGTTCAGTCTGTGTCCTGCACATATAATTCTAGAGTCAGTGGTTTAAGGATAAAGGAGACTCTTGTCTGAGACGTTTTGGTGCCAATGTTTTAAATTTCCTGTTTTGTGGTAAGGTCGCAACTTCCTGAATGTAAGGTTCAGATGTCACATTAATATGTGCGTCTCCTGTCTAAGTCATCATCATCTTACCACTGGGTGAAAACAAATCGTGCTCTTCTTTTCTTCCATAAAAATGTTATGACAAAATTGTCAGAGACAAGGTTGGTTAACAGTCATACCAAGAAGCATAAGTCATGACAGTGTTTCAGAGATCTAGGTATCCATTTTAACATCAAAATCATTGTAAATATTTCATGTCAGATACCTTCAGGAATCTCCAAAATCCCAACTGATTTATATTGGTTTTAATTACAGGTAGCAAATAACTAGTAGAACGTGGAAAAGGTTATTAGTTTTGGTGCAGACAGGAGGTGAAACCTTACAGTATGGACTTGTCTCTGGATGCTGTGTACCGTGCTGTGGTTAGAGGCCTGCAGGTTGGACTGGCAGCTGTAATTATATCCTGGATTCTTGACATTACCTTCAGACTTAACATGATAAGCACCTGTACTGCTTTTATGCTTGGAACATTTCTGGGAACTGCATACACTTTCTACCTGGATACCTTAGAGGTACTACTGAAAAATCGGGATTGAGTACATAATATTAAATCTTTAAATGGCATCCACTTTTTAAAGAAGAGTGAGAGGTATACCCTAGTGTAGTACACACAGTTTAAAAAAGTGTTCTTATCTGTTTTGTACACATCATTGGTCTTCATTTCATTTAGGAGTTAATAACATGCCTAAAATGTATGCCATCTGAAATCAGTTTTTTTGGTATTTATTAAATAATCACAACACTGAAAAGGTATTAAAATAAAGATAAGCATTTTGATCAGGTCTGTACTTTGTCATGTACTATTTTTTTTAAATGTACAATGAGCCAATTTTGAATAAAGTATGATGAAGTCAAATTTGAACATCATCTAAAGTAGGAGTTCTGATTGGATACAGTATCAGTCAATTTAAGCCAACTTTGTTATGTGGAGTCGCAGATTATGTACATGGAGTAGGATACAACTACTTTGTTACATATTTGTCATATAGTATTTATGCAAGGAAGGCATAATAATAGAACCTTAAAATCGTGCAGCCTGATGCACTCAGTTTTGGGTCTATAGAATGATATTTTCTTTTGCAGATTTCGCTGCTAGGGAAGGGCGTGTTGGTCACTGGCTGTGACACTGGCTTTGGGCATGCCCTTGCTCTTAAACTTGCTAATATGGTATGCAACAGACTGGATGAGTTCCTATTGCTTATTGATGTTTATTGAACCACCTTCACAATTAATTCCTAGAAGCACAGTGGTAACTGTATGTACCACCTACTTTTAACATTAATTAACTCTGTACTGAGGCATTTCATTGTTCCCCTTAGTATTAAATGAAAATATTAAAAGTTATTCCTTATAAGTGCAGGACAAAAGCATGAAACTGGTCATTTGTTGTCCTTTAATGTAACATTTTCAGAATGGAATGGAACTTTCATGCTATGGTATGTAATTTTGATACAGTTCTTAAGCAAATATGTACCTCTGTCTGTTATTACCTTTAAGTTTTGTATTATCTTTTCAGCAGAATTTGAACCCACACAGTGTTGTCAAGATGTCTTTAATGTATTATGTGGTTGTTTCCAGGGTGCAGTGGTTTTTGCAGGTTGTTTGTGGTCACAGGAGGGTGGTGCAAAACAGTTGAAAGAACACAAGAATATTCATGTGGTGCAAATGGACATAACTTCAGACGAGGAAATGACAGCAGCTCTTGATTATGTTACTAGGAACCTTCCTCTGCAAGGTGAAAACAGAGTAACCACGTGTTCAACTTTTCGCTGCGTAGGACAGTCCATTCATTCACTAACAAATACCATAACTAAACATCACTATGTCGTAGTTTCTTCATTGTATTCAGAAGATCTCTGATTTGGAAACCTCAAATCCTTAACCTGTCCTGTTTCAATTCTCTCTGCGTAGTCAACAGAATTTCAGCATGACTGTGAGCTAGTCCTATTCGCTCGGTCTGATTCCTTGACATGTATATGAATACTGTTCTTTTGTCTTCTCAATCAAACAAGCAGGTTAGTGTAGTGGCACCATACTGGACTTGTACTTAGGAATTCCCTAGTTTGAATCTTGACCAGGAACCAGTTATTCCATTTGAGGACTTTGTGATCTTTCTTAGTGCTATCCATCATAGGCCATAGTTTCTTCTGATTCAAGATTATCTTATGAGATATATCATTTTAGTAGTTTTATGCAGTGTCAAAAATAGCCAGATAAACAATTTTACATAGGCATGCTGATCAGTGAATCAGACTTCTTTTATCTGCAGGTCAGTCTGAGATGAAGTACAAATACAGACCATTATAAAGCTTCTGACAATAACATCTGTTTGTTATCTTTACCAGGTTTGTGGAGTATAGTAAATAATGCTGGATGGAGCACATTTGGTCACGTAGAATGGGTGCCAATCCATATCTGTCGCAAGAGCTTGGAAGTCAATGTCTGGGGTATGATGAGAGTCATTCGAGCCTTTCTGCCATTAATTAGGCAGACAAAGGGTATGTATCGTATCACTGCTATAATCCATAAATCAAATCACCAAAGATGGTAAGTTCCTCCAAAATGTTGGTAACTGCCTACAACACTAAATTACATCATTACTCAGAATGAAACAAAAATAATTAGCCAAACATACCGAGGAAACTTTAATACAGTTTACTGTTTACATTCTGTAATGCTTGCAGGGAGGGTTGTGAACATGTCCAGCGGCATGGGGCGTCGCTGTGCTGCAAGCAGGGCGAGCTACTGTATCACCAAGTATGGAGTGGAAGCACTGTCAGACTGCTTGCGTTTTGAGATGAGGCAGTGGGGTGTCAGCGTTGTCATCGTTGAGCCTGGAAACTTCGTAAATGGTATGGAAATTCTGACCTCATATTAAATAACTAGCGTTGTGGTTTGGTATTAGGGTTAATGTTAAGAAGATCATTATTTTTAAATAGTGTAGTTTCTTAATTGAATTGAAACAGAGTAGCAGCAACAGTGCACAAGTAGTGACAGTGGTAGCATAAGTAGGTTGTTCTTGCAGAAGTAGATCTAGCTGGTAAGTACTTTTGTAGATTCTCATTTTTTTTTCAGTGGTTATACAAAATATAATTTTACCCAAAAATACTCTGCTAAATCCATCATCCTCTTTTTAATTAGTGACCAATATAACATCAAATTCTTTTAAATTTACAGCTAATTCATCTTTGAAAATAATATTTTTAAACATAAAACTTGTATCTCTGAAGCTAATAAATTTAAAAGTCTGGTTGGTAGCTCTGGTGCATCTTACCATTAACTTAGCTTTTCTTAATGGCTAGAATATTAAGACCTTATGCAGGAGAAGGGACATGTAATTTTGTTGTGGAAATCTCTTTTTGAAAGTTGACTGAGAAGCAAATGGGAGAATGATGTCATATGAAATTACATCTTAAAGAAATTTGTTGTCAGTGTGAGAGGTGGATATAATCATCTCAGGATTATGTCCTTTAGTGTTACAGTTTTCTTACCAGAGAGTTATTGAAACAGACAACATCTGCATAGACAAGTTTAACTGTGTTGATCAGTGTGTGTTTCCTGTTTAAGTAACGATTTGATTATCTGTGTGGTAAACCCTGCCATTCTGTAACAGCCACAGGTGTGTTCACACCCAGCTCAATCCGCAGGGATGCCACAGCCCTGTGGAAGCAGATACCTGAACCAGTTCAGGCAGCCTATACAAAGGAATACTTTGATGACTTTGTTAACAACATGATTACATACTCAACACGTGGGGTGAGTTTGGACCATAAACTTTTAATGACAGATCAGTCAGTAAGCATCACCACACTAAGTTTGGATATTAATAGTCATATTTGCCTGTGGTATATGTGGTTCAATCAGCATAAAGTTCCTTTTGTAGCAGGCATGGAGGAAGTGGAATCATGCAAATTTCTGATTGGAATGTCTTGAAACAAAATGCCACATGGGAAATTCAGAATTAGAGGGATATTACAGAAGAAGGATGTTTGTGTATTATTAAGACATTGAGATCTGGGTGGCTACAATTGGCTTGGATGTGCAGGCTGTAAGGAGTGTTTATGGAAATATGGTGGGAAACAGTTCCTTGGAAGACCGAGGAGGTGGAATGACAAGTGATATCAAGGTTTTTGCTTTAACAGGATGCCAGAGGATTAATATTGTATGTTTTTGAAGATTGTTATCATATGGGTTATAGTGCCGTGTATTCTGGAAGAGTTTACCAACATTTCAGAGATCCTTGCTGCCTCCTTCATCGGGGCAATGAGACTCATCGCTTGGTGCTACAACCCAGACAACAGCATCTTCATACTACTGCCATGAGAACCTCAGATCTTACTTGTATGTTTTTGTTGCTGAACCATGTTGCAGACAACAGATAAGGAGCCTGTGTTGGATGCCTTGATCAAGGCAATTGTGCACAAGTACCCTCATCCCCGATACCAGCCCATGGAGCTGTACTTCAAACTCTCTGTCTGGGTTAACACACACCTGCCAGAGTGGGTATTTGAAGCTCTGTTCACTTAAGCATCTGCACATGGATTACTCGTAACATTCCTGTGGTGGAATCTCAATTAAAACTTCCTTGTAGTTCATTTAGCATTTAAAATAGGCTAGTGTCTTATGGTTGCACAGTACACACTTTTTTCCTCTCTCGTATGCATCTTGATAATAAACAAAGTTGAATCATCATGGCAACACTTTACTTTGCGTGAAAATTCAACTTTGGTTTTTAAATTATACCTAAACAGTATGCAATGTTAGAACTTAGTGCCATTTGTTGTAGTTTAGTCTTTGCAGCGATAGCGTACTTTTCACACATAATGAGAGTATCAAAGTTTAAAATGAAAATAAATGCCTCTGTTGCCTCTTTCCTGATTTCTTGATTGGAATTTGATTACATTTTATATGGAATATTTGTACTAAGATGTAAGTGTAAAAATGAATGTGGAATAAGACAGACACTTCATTTGAATATGTAAATATTTTTTATTTATCTCATTACATTTAAAATAAATTTAAAAATGTTCCAGTTAACACAACAGATCTTGATATGATATTATATATATATATATTTACAGAAATAAAGGTACAATGCTGCTGTATCAAATGAGATGTGATAATGGTTATAATTGTAAATTATTTGGAATAGGGGAAAAGTAGCCAGAGTGATGGAATGAATTATGAAGGATTTTGGAAGAACCATAAGAAACCAGCTTCACAGCTGCTTTCTTCATCACAAATATCAATAATAAGGAGCTGAACTGTGGAGGTCATGAACTTGTTCGCTCCTTTCCATGTACAGCATTCAAGTGATATTTAAGGTGCTCTCTCCTCACAAAACCCTTGGCACAATGCTGACATGAAAATGGTCTTTTACCAGAATGAACAGTTAAGTGATCTTTTAAGCGAGCATTGTTGGCAAAAGTTTTACCACATTCTAAACAAATGAATGGTTTATTTTCTGAATGAGTTGCAATGTGAACTTTAAGGTTCTGACTCTGTGCAAAACGTTTACCGCATATTGTACATAAGTAGGGTTTGTGGCCTGTATGAACCCGCATGTGTTTCTTTAGAGAGTCTCTTCGTCCAAATTCTCGGCTACACTGACTACAAGAAAAAGCCTTTTCACCTGTATGACGCACCATGTGAGCCTGTAGGTGAGAGGGACGCACAAATTTCAGCCCACAGTCAATGCATGAGTAAGGTCTGTGACCAGTGTGAGTATTTTTGTGAGTAAGAAGGCCACTTTTCTGAGTGAAACATACACCACAGTCTGCGCAGCAGTACGGTTTCTCGCCAGTGTGTATTCTGGAGTGAATCTTGAGACATTCTTTCAACGCAAATGCTTTTAGACAAACATCACAAGAAAAAGGTTTTTCGCCTGTATGTGATAGCATGTGATTTAGGAGATGTTTTCTCACTTTCAGAATCTTCCCACAAACATCACACACAAAATTCTGTTTGGCTTTCGTCTTCTTTCTTGTCATGGATTTAATGTCATGGCGTTGATGAACAGTACTTCTTCTGGTATCCACCTCATTTATGCCAGTCAGCAGCGGATCAGGCAACAAGTCTGAGCCACTGAATTCATCACACAACCTGGAGACAAAAATTGATTATATAAAATTTGTTTGTATTAAACAGACAGGGCGATGCTAAAGTTTCAATTTGAAGATGTCAAAGTTCACCTGGGAGGCATTGGCACAGATATGAATATAATATTAAAATGAATTTAAATAAATAACATATTGTAATTGTGAAACATTGACCTGACTCATGATGGTATAGAAACTTTTGATCTTTTTGCATTAGTGAAGATATCAAATTCATCTCACAGGCCAGATCTATGGGTCACTAAACCACATCTATATCCTTTGTGGGATTTGAATGGCTTAATAATAAAACCATCTGATTTTACTATGGTCACCTGAACATCTCTCAAATACTGAGCAGTTTGAAAGCTAAAGAAATTATCTAACCCTAGGGCTGCATGATTTACAACAAGCAAGTCATCTTCAAAGGTGATCTCTGGCTTTATATTCTCTTCTTTTACTGTTGTCAACAAACAGGATCCATCATTCATGTTTTCTTCCTGTAACAGAAAACATATAGTGATATCCAAAATGATCTGCTAATAAGACAAAATGCATCTGATAGGAAGAGGGGGAGATACAAGACATGCTACTTGGTCTCTGAACCATATGGACTATCCAGAAAATGTCAGTGAGTGAGATTCCTGAGACAGCTCTTGGTATTTCACTACTCCTAGAAATCAGGCTCATCATCAGTGCTCAAGTAATATCTAACACATGAATATAAATCTGAAACAGGGAATCAGCTATCCCAACAAAGTTTCTATGACTTTCCACAGTTTTTCTAGGAAAATGCTGTGAATATGTTTAATGAGGTCACAAGAGCTTCCTTAAACTTGTTTTCATACTTTTTATGATTATCTTCATATTCATCTCAAAGTATATAATCCTGCAGTTGAAATATACTTCTGATAAATTGAATTTTTCATAATTCTTATTGATTTTAAAATAACTAATTACTGGGCCAAAATTTCTCCCTTCACTTGTTGGTATATATACCTGTACAGTTATTTGTGATTGATGGCAACCAACCAGCTGCTTGAGTGTGGCATCGGCAGTTTCACACTGTATCTTAAAGTTAAAGCTTGCGTTCACCTGTAGAACACACTGAGAACACACCTGGGTTGGTAGACCATCGTCAATACACAGCTGTAGAATTAAACATTAACATATTAACTGGTAGACAGTAACAAATTACAATTTTAGAAATGCATGCTGCTGTTCATTCCCATTCAAATCATTGTGCTTTCTCATTGCCTTTCTAAAATACAAGCAAATTGTTAACTATGATTTGTACTTGAGTATCTCAGGTTTGTTGCACATGGAAACTATAATTATATGAATACTATTTATGGCCACATTATTTATACGTATAATACATTAACCTTTATGACTGGTATCAAAGTCATAACTTTGCCAGGGAGGTTGTCCTCTTGGTGAAAGAGTGGTAACAGTCTTTCACTTGGTTGCATCAGACACAGACGACATATTTTATTGAAATCTAGCGTCATTGTTGCTTTAAACATAAAAGGTGCGTGCACACTTGTTTTATTTCATTTAAGTGTAATTTAGGAGCCACTTATACATTCAATGCTCATACATAACCTCTTCGGAGTTTATTTTCCCTAGGTAGATAGGAAATAAAATGACATGCTCAAAATACCCCTCACAATCATACAGAATTTTACTTATTACGAACAAAATTATGTGCATAAGGTGATTTCTGCACATGAGAATAGCTTATAGCCCTCATTATACAGCACTTTTCCTTTCTTGATGTCTATACCAAAAACTTTAAGTGCGTGTAGTTGGTATCAGTGGACACTACCCACTGAATTGTGAAACGATAATTTGGAATGCGGTTCTTCAACACAAACAAACATTTTATCGGCGTCATAGTTCTAATTTAATTAAAAAGACAATGTTTCGGAAATACTTTTTCTGGGTTTACAGATCGAGACTAGCTGCATTGATTGGGCACAACTGAATAAGTTTTGACTGGGGTCGGAGTCAGATTGAAGTTTCCTAAACATAGTTTTTTTGTTAATTAGGATGGTGCATAATGTCCAAAAGGTTTGTTTCTTTTAATGTAAAAAAATATTTAAAGGTGGCCATGTTGACAACAGCTGTTGCTGCAATGCGAATTCAATATGGCAGCTGTTGTGAAGTAAGAGTTTGTTGTGTTCATGACATTTGAACTGACTTTTATTATAAGCAGGCAATATTACTCCTGTTGTAAATTATAAAGATGTCAGACGGTAATTATGAGTATGAACTAATGAGGTCCGAACTATTGGGACTACCGCCACCGGAGAAAAAGCCACTCCCACCTGCATCACAAAATGAAGAAGATATGCTTTCAAGCGACGTTGATGATGACAGTGTAGAAAGGAATGAGGTATGTACGTGCTGAATAAACGAGTTAACTTCCAGATAGGTTTCTTTTGATGATATTCTCACACTGCACCATATATGTTTTGTTTTTGTCAAGCATTGATTGAAGCAGAGAATATGTCTCCACCATGCCACAGTTTCTGATCCCACTGTGTTACTTGTTTAAGTTTGACTTGGTTTCATTAGGTCAGTACTTAAACATTTTATTGTATGTTGATTGTTGTATATTACATTGGGTAAATTTAATGTAGACTCTGTGGACTAGGAGGAATCTACAAACAAATGAATAATTACTATAATTGTACAGTTATTGATTTGTTGTTCTTTGTAGTCTCACCGTATAAATTGAAGTATTTAAGGGTAAATAGTTTATATATGTTACTTCTAGAACATTGATTTGTTGTTCTTTGTAGTCTCACTGTATAAATTAAAGTATTTAAGGGTAAATATTTGATATATGTTACTTCTAGAATTTCTTATTTTTTGTTTTATTTTGAACAAGGTATGGCAGAACATAAGTAATGTTTCTTTTAATTTCTTACAGCTAGTGATTAGGTTCCATAAACAACATTTGTTTCATATTCCAGGATATTCATCTGGAGGGTGAACAGATGGGAAGGGTTTCAGGAGGCTTAGATGAACTAAATAGTATTCTCAGCATGACGCAAAAGAAGATTAACAGATTTAAGGTAAGTTGGTTTATTTCTTTGTTGTTAGCCATAAAGATCTTTATGTTTTCAAGCTTTCCATTCAGGTCCCATTAATGGTTGAAACTTCTTGATAATTTGAATGCCCTCAACTGCATAAGGAAGAACATATACCAGAGTGTTAGTATATTAATGTTGTTTTCATATGCTACATATGCTAATGAATGCAATAAAATGTTAAATCTTGACAGTGATGTTAAGATTTTGTACATATGCACAGTCTGAGGTAGAGTTCAAATCGTTGATCTAAAGCTGGAGTTTCTCTGTTGATTCAGTCAGTTTGCGGAAGCTTCACAAATCTCCTGAAGTTGAGGGTGAGTAGTAAACAAGATGGGACAACAAGCGATAGTAGCAGTCGGACATCCGAAGCAGACTGTGCTCTGCCAACTGGGGAAGTTCATGAGAATTCTGATTCAGGTTTGTATTACTCCCATTTTAGAACAGTGTTCTTCTCTTCTTGTCTTCACAGATTAATTAACTTAAAGCCTGTAGCATATGGCCAGGCTGGGTAAATTATTTAGCGAGTTACTTGTAATTAATATAACCTTATAATGTTCAGTGTTCACTGCTATCACTTTGCCTTCTACTTAACATCCTTTTTAGTTCTGCTTATACATGTGAATCTGCTTTCTCAGCTGTCCATATCAGCAGGTCAAAATATCACTACCTCACAAACAACTTGAACTCCTGTCTAAGCAGATAAAATATACATACTGAAATTCACTAAATTATTGTCCATATCAGCAGGTCAAAATATCACTGCCTCACAAACAACTTGAACTCCTGTTTAAGCAGATAAAATATACGTACTGAAATTCACTAAATTATGTGACTTTTTGCTGTGCATGTTGTCTTCATCTTATCAATTTAACATGTATTTCTACTCGTTTCATAGAATTTTATATTAGTACATAATTATTTTTAGATGGTATGTTTATATTTTTACATTTTCATCTTAGTGTAATTATATGTTGTGAAACGTGTGTGACTATTTTCATGGGTAAATTAAGAAGAATGAAGTGAGTGGAACATCGGAAGAACAGAAAATACAATAAACATTTTAATAGATGGACCTGAAAAAAAGAGAACAATTATAAGGTCTTATGTTTATGTAGGTAGGTTGTGTTAAAATGGATCTTAGAGAGACTGTGAGGTTGTGTACTAGTTCGAACTGGCACAAGGTATCCATTGGTGGGATTTTGTGATTATAGTGTACTGTCAGGTTCCTCACAAGAGAACATGTGTTTATAATCTGAATAACTATCAAATGCCAAGGAATGCCTTATACTTTGAATTAGTTAGGAGACTGTTTTGTAACAGGGCTGCATTGTAGCACCTGTGATTGCTACTTATTTTACAGATTTATTTTTGCAGGTACAGATTCTACTGAGAGCAAGGCAACTTTGGCAGCCAAGAAGACAACACAACAGAATCTAGATCTTGAAGGGAATTTGGGCTCACAAATTGACAAGCTCGACACAATGCTGATGAAGGCAGAACAGGCCGAACTGAGCATGTCGAAACAGAACAAGGAAATGAGGATCTTTCTCAAAAAGTAGGCAGCCTGTGTGTAACCCACATGTATAGATTCTTGCGTCTTTATTCCCTTTGCCTCTGTATAACAGGCTTGTTACAGAGGCTTTTCTAAGGACACAAGGCCACAGCCACTGTTTGTCTTGTTAGCACATCTTTAGTTTTTCATGATAGAGCCATATTATAGTTGTGTATATGTTGGTTATTTTCAAAGTGACCTTATTGATGGCCTAGGTCACTGTACTCAGTTCAGATGTCTTACCAGAAATTAAAATATAATTTGAACTCTGTTGTGTTCTGACATGTTGAAGTAAAAGGTGAAATTGTTTAAATCTGTTTTTGCTGCCCATGCACCGTGCACAATATTATGAACCTGTGCTAAGTGTAATTGTGTAAGCTTAATTGCTGTTTTAAACACCATTAAATTCAGTTGAAATGTGTTTTAGCCAATAAACTAATTATGTATCTGTCAGCACTTATTGAAGTGGAAATTCCTATAGACTGATGTATCAAAGTAAATTCCTTAATTAATTTAAGGGGGCAGGTCACAAACCTTTCTTCCACATAAGCTGTTCAAAGAACAAACTCTACTTTCATTAGTGTTCACAATTAGTTATTGTTGTTGTACATATTTTAATGTATATGTAGAATATTATGTAGAAACTGATACAAATGTATATTGTTAAATCAAACCAAAGATTTTTTAGAATTTCTATATATGAGTTAATTGTTGTGTTGGAGACTGCTGTTGTGATGTTATTTTCTAAGTAAAACAGTATTAATTTTAAATAATTGTTTTTAAAATATGTTTTTTTTATTTTTTGGAGTCTTAATGGATATTAACACCAAACTAATGTTTGATAAAATGATTGTATTTAAGTTAAATAAATGTTGCTCTTGATAAACAACATTATATGTAATTTATTTGTACAGCAGATTCCTGATTTATGACCTTCAGTTATCCAACATTCTGTTTTATCATACGTGCCATGTTCGAATGATACATTGTATCAACACTCAGCTCAGCATGTAGCAGAATGAATCACACTCCCCCACCTTGCACCTCCAGCATTTTATTTATTCAGTTGCTATTACCTCTGTTTAGTAATATGAACGAGAGGCCAGCAGTCAAGTTAGTTGGCTTAGGCTGTCTGGAGCTGTTATGCCACAGATTTAATTTTAATTTAGTTGCTACACATGTAGTGCTTTTCTGGCACTGGCATGACCTTGCAACTAAGAAAATTAGCGTGAGCATGAACTATTGTAAAGAAAAATGAATTGCTGTGCCATATAGTGGCACGGGTATGGAGCAAGTAGAGTCCCTTCATGATTCTAAAGGAGCTAATAAGTGATGTCTGTGTCAGACTGCCACAGTCTTCCATTTTATAAAATGATAGTTACATACTATATCAACTAAGTTGTTCACACTTATAATTGTGTAAGATTTGAGGTTTCCACAGTGTGAGTATGAAGATTTCTGTCTTCTGGGTTGTTGCCCTGCATAGTCTTGTCGATGTTTAACATGTAAACATCAACCAGACTACACAGCGCAACAACCCGGAAGACAGAAATCTTTTTATAATTGTGTATTATTTTTGCAGGGATGATCGCTAAGATATTCTTTCTCTTTGACTGTGGCCCATATGAAAGGGAAATACATGAGAAACCTCACGTATGGACTAGTGTGTAGGTTGTATTACCTCCAAGGGCTGTGCTGGTAGGAATGAATGTAATTTGTGGTTGGTAGCACCATAAATGCCTGACAGATCAATAAGTAGTGGCCAGTCTTTTGTCTTCCAGGCTGGGAGTTAACAGCAACTGTAAAAATCTTTATATTTGCAGAAAAAGGGAAAAAAGGGATAATTTACTGCATAGTGGCGCTTGGTAATGGCAAGGCTATGAACATAGAAGTTACAGATGAATACTTACAGATGTCAGAGTGATCAACTATGTTATGATGCTGAGGTTATCTGTGCGCTTTACAATCAACTAAGAAAATCGTACCCAGTGGCTTTAGTTTGCATTGTGTGGTATAGAAGTCTGCGGAAAGAAATCAGAAAAATGTCAGCTATCAGTTTGTTGAATCCAAAAGCAGAATTTGCGAGGGCTGCTCAGGCTCTTGCAATAAATATTACCGCAGCGAAAGGTATTCAAGATGTGATGAGAACAAATTTGGGTCCTAAGGGAACAATGAAAATGTAAGTAGGAGCATTCGGTTGGCCATGTGGTAACCGTTATATATAGCCTGATTGAGAAATAAAATTAATAATTTCTGTTTTATTTGCACGGTGTACCTGGTTAAAGTTAGATGTCAAGGAATAACGTTCTGTAAGTGACATAATGTGAACAGTATTTGTGCCAACGTTTGCACGTTACCATATATGGACATTTCGTATTTCATTGTGATTCTTGGGGATGGGTCAAATACCTGAAGTAATGAATATTGCTGAAGGTTGACATATTGTCAGACGCCTTTAAATAAAATAATCGTACCAGTATTGGAATGGTTGGATGTCACTAAAATCAGTTGGTCACTTGCCATAAGTTCTTTTTAAATGTTGATAAACATTTTGGGTCTATTCCTCTCAGAAATTTTGTTGTATCATTTTTTTTACTAATCAGGTATGTGGTTCTGTTGGAATTTCAGTATTTATGGTGGTGTGTACTAAGATGGCTGTTTTCTGGATTGTAGTGCCATGTAGTGTGGTATAAGTGACATCCTGTTGACAGAGACAGCAAGGACCTCTGAAACGTTGGTAAACTTCTACCAGACTACATGGAACTACAAGCTAGAAGAGATACATCTATGTGGATCTAGATTTCTTTGCCAGTCATGTAGGCTACACATAATATTACAAGAGTGACAAACTATTAGTGTCCATTTCAAGTATTATAATAGAAATAAACAGTTAAAGTCAGCACATCTAATTACATATTCCTTATTCTCATATTTGTTGCTGCTGTGTCAAGACAACAACCGTGCCACTAAATTCAAACAGTTGGCTTATTATTATTATTATTGTTTTTAATCAGGTTGGTGTCTGGATCTGGAGACATTAAAATTACAAAGGATGGCAATGTTCTGCTTCACGAAATGGTAATGTATTCATGTGTAGTGGCATGTATGTAATTGTGTATTCTTCAATATTGACACTAGGTTATGGTGCAAGATGGCCATGACACTTATGCCATATACTTTCAGTTGTAAAAATATAGAAGCAGTCTGTTGATTCTTTACCACATAATACTATAAGTATTTATTCATTTATTTGTGATTTTGCAGTAATATCTTGAGTGATTTTCTGACTGTGTGTTTGTCTAGTATGCTATGGTTGAGTGTTTTTATTACATTTGGGATTTAGATTCCTTCCTGGAATTTATCAGTCAGATTTATCCAAATTGTAAAACTTTGGGCCAGTATTTTCATTTAATAACTCTGTTATGGATGAATTAATTTTGCATTAAAAACTTACAAAGATGTATTGATCAGGTTTCTGTTTTGATAAAATTGAACTGAAAAACATGAAGTTTAAAGAGCCCAAATACATTTTTAGATATATTTCAATAAATATTGAGTATATATAAAGTCTCACGTGAAATTAGTATCTACTAATTGCGTGAATATTTTGTCACGTGTATTCTTATTTTATATAACATATTTCTTTGGAGACATTGACCATCAAATATTAATTTGTTTTTATGGTATACAGATATGAAGTGTATAATTTGCTTTGGCTGTTTTCTAAAGTGTAGACAGTCTTGACATTTTGATAGTGAGGATTTAATGTGCTTGCTTTTTTTTGTTGATAGCAAATCCAGCATCCAACTGCTTCGCTTATTGCACGTGCATCGACTGCACAGGATGACATGACTGGAGATGGGACAACATCAACTGTTCTTGTCATTGGTGAACTCTTGAAGCAAGCTGACCTCTATATATCAGAAGTGAGCACAGTTTAATGGCCATTCCATAACTTCACTTCATGCTTCAACCATTTAATAGAATTGTCTAGCTAGAACTTACAAAGCACAAACTTCGAAGACAATTGTATAGCACATTAACCTTTATCGAATAAATATAAAAAATAATAATGCCAACATTGATAGGTGAACACTGCTTTACCTGATATGTTTACCATTCAGGATTGCTGCGTGCATGATTTGAGATTCTGTGTTATGAAATTGGCTTTTATTAGCTTATTTTTCAAGGCTGTGCTGCTGAATCCTAGGTACATAATGATTTGCAAGCATTTTTTGCTTGCTATTGCATGACTTGGAATGAAAAACTAATGGTCTGTGAAACTTCTTATTTGAGATTTCTGTAAGTAAATGTTAGATTAGGAGCCTAGTGTGTGGCTCTTTGTGTATCATAAGTTATTTTGGACATGTTTTCAGGGTCTTCACCCACGCATCATTACAGAAGGTTTTGACAAGGCTCGAGCAAAGACTCTGGAAGTTCTGGAAAAGCTTAAGATTAAGATCGAGCCAACACGTGAAAATCTGTTGGATGTGGCACGTACATCATTGCGTACAAAAATCCATCCACAGCTTGCAGATGTTCTGACTGATGTAAGTTTTGTGACAGGATAGGCATTAACATTAATTTTAAACAAGAAACCTCGGGCTTTTGTGGTTTGTGATCTCAAGATAGGCATTAGGCTGCCATTTCGTTGGTGCTGATGAATATATTTGGAGTTGGCGTGGGAAGCAGTGTTTAGATAACAAATGCATTTGGGATTGGCATTGAAAGAATTAGTGGGTAATTATGTAAGTGCAAGAAATTAATGTTGCTAATGCCTCAGACTGTAATCTGTTTACCTTCTTTGCCTCTGCCTGCCTTGGCACTGATGAAAGAGGCAGTTTATGAAGTGAGAGCACAATCAGGTAAACTTTTACCATGGCATATGTAACCTACTGGCTGTTGCTTTTGTTACATTCATTCTTCTTTTCCGTAGGACTGGGAAGGGGAAGACACGCAGAAAATTCCACAGTGGATCAACCTCAGACCTTTGGCCCAGAGGTCCCGTACCTTGCCCCTAAGCTATTCAGGTCCCTGTTAAAATATCTGTTTGTTGAGGGTTATTGTCATGTTTCAGATTTGTGTGGATGCTGTACTGGCTGTGCGTCAGGGTGACAAGCAAATTGATCTGCACATGGTGGAGATCATAGAAATGCAGCACAAGACATCCACGGAGACTAGTCTGGTGCGAGGTCTGGTACTAGATCATGGCTCTCGTCATCCAGACATGCCTAAGAGAGTGGAGAATGCCTATATTCTCACATGTAATGTGAGCATGGAGTATGAGAAGAGGTGAGACCGCACATCAACAAGCCGACATCGCTCCCTTATAAATTTTTTCCTTCAAGACACTCGGCCAAACATTCACTTTCACGTTTTTAAACATATATAGCAGCACAGTCTTTAGTTCATTTTTATGTCATGACATTTCATCTTGTCATACTGCTTTTCGTGAAATGATTTGACGTATGAAAAAATAATGCTGGCGCAGTCAGCTGATGACTTCATGTTTCTGAATCTAACCCGGTGTCCTACGTGAGCGATTAAATGCGAGCAGTGCGAGTTGCATGGGTGAAGCGGGAATATCAAACAGGCTGTTTGTGTGGCGCTGTCCTAGGTTCCAGCGAAGCGGTCAGGAGAGGGAAGCGGCCAAAGTCTGAGATAAAATATTTTGATATTTTCGCGCGAGTCGCTGCGCTGGCCAGTAAGGCGTATGCTCAAGAAGTCTCTGAACATGCAGTACACGGAAGGTGCATGCGCAGGAAGGCCATGTGCTTCTATTGCAGTCTCTCACGTAGGACACAAGCGATTCCCCGCTTCATATGACACCCCATGCTGCTTATGCAGCTTGCTTGTTATTGCTTACGTAAGAGTCTCATGGCGCTACAACCTGGAAGACTCACTGCTCTAAGAACCTTAAATCCTACTGGAACATACTAAATTATTTTCAAACTTTATCGTTGTTAAATGACCCACACTGTTAAAATTGTTTTGTTCAAGTAAAAATGTTTTCTAGGTATTTAGAACCCTTTGAAAGACTGATTGAGTAGTGTGGAAACAATATTGGAAGGAGTTTTGGAAAACTATTTTCAATTTGTTTTTATGTTAGACAGTGTATGTAAGGTCACAAAAATGGGTACTTGTATGGTTGCAACTCATTAAGTTTCCTGGTGGTATATTTCTTTTTGAAGACTCAGATTAGCTATTTAATTGTGAGATCTTTTAATGTGAACTAATATCTTAGTACATATGTTTCGGTTGTAACATTTATAGTAACTGAAAGTTTGATTTGTTAAATCGCTGTAACTCTGAAAAATAGCTTGGCTTTGAGGTTAAACATGTCTCTTTCAGAAAAGATAATTTTCATCTTATGTTATTTTCAGTGATTAATTTATGGAGAGATAACAATTTCTGTTTTCTCAGAACCCTAAAATGTCTTATGGTCACTGTAAGTGCTTATGATAATTGTACTAGTTACTTCATTTTTTTAAACTCTGTGTAGTGAGGTGACCGCGGGTTTCTTCTACAAGTCTGCAGAGGAGAGAGAGAAGCTGGTATCAAGTGAAAGAGATTTTATTGAGAAGCGAGTACAGAAAGTGATTGACCTAAAGAATAAATTATGTAACAATACGGACAAGAGATTTGTTGTTATAAACCAGAAGGTGAGTTGTAGCGTAGCATCTCACAGTGTTGAAGTCTTCTATTTGACTCTGAAATAACTTTTCATACAGTTCTTCTGACTTCAGTGTGAAGACAACTATAGTTCAATGATGGCATTAAGAGCTAATTACTGCATTTACATAAATGTAAGGTACACTTATTTTCCAAATCTGCATCCCAAATACTTCTTCTTCTTCTTCTATGGCTCTCCGGTCCTTATTCGGTCCATGGCCTTCTCAATTCTCCTCTTCCATTCAGTCCTCTGTTAGGTCCGTCTGTTCGAGGCTTTGATTGAGGTTTCGAAACGTCTTCCTTTTTACGGTGCAAGGTTGTTAGCCTTGCGACCAACCCCCAACCTGGAGGACCAGGGTATCTGTCTTAGTCTGACCTCTCCCACTAGGGAGGCCCTACCAGTAGCGATGCTACCACCAGCATAGCTCTTGGGATCACTGAGGTACTCAAGCCCCACCACAACAACAAGGTGCAGGTACCATTAAGTGGGGATCCCAAAGACTGTGGTGTGGCTAATTTTCATATTTTTTATGGCAAGATAATCAGTCTTTGTCACTGTTGATTAGGAAATGTTACATTATGGTTTCCTGATATGGAGAATCATTGCAGGTATTTCAATAACATTAAATATATAAATGTTGTTTCAGCATGCTGTATTGACTGCTAAAACAGATTGATACATACACATTGTACTGTTCTGTTTTGCCTGCAGGGTATTGATCCCATGTCACTTGATATGCTGGCAAAGGAAGGCATCTTGGCTGTGCGGAGAGCCAAGCGACGTAACATGGAGCGTCTGGCACTGGCTTGTGGTGGTACTGCTATGAACTGCGTTGATGATCTCACTGAGGAGCATCTTGGTTTTGCAGGCCTGGTGTATGAACATGTACTGGTATGAAGCAGCCACCTTCATGTAATGAATGTAGCGCGTAAATCATTATGTTCTAAGTAGCTTATGACGTCAGTAATGTATAGAAGTAGAAGTCTGAAGAAACTTGTAATACCACTGAAGAAAATCTGTAGTTGGAGACTGAACTTCATCGAGTGTTCTGCACTAATGCATTTGGCTGTTTTGCAGGGTGAGAGCAAATACACGTTCGTGGAGGAATGCAAGTTTCCTCAGAGTGTCACCATCTTGATCAAAGGCCCAAACCAACATACGCTAACTCAGATTAAGGATGCTATTCGTGATGGGCTGAGAACCGTAAAGAATGCGATTGATGATGGTGAGTTTAGTAACATTTTGAAACTATGTAGCACTTATGTGTGCCGGAGTAGCTCTGTAACATCACTGGTTGTTGAGTGGACAGCTTGTATTCATTTCCTGGCAGTAATGGGAATTTTTCTCTTTTGTTATGGCCGGAGTAGCTCAGACTCATATTAAAAAATATAACTCACTGTCCTGTGGTGATAGTTTTGAAGAAAAGAATGTGTTACACTAATTTATGTATTATGTGGTTGCAAGAATATGGAAAGTTAATACAATTGTAGTTGTCTAAACAAAGCAAGCCAAATAAAATCTAGTGCATTTTGCATTTTGTAGTGTGGTACAAATTGCATATGTTTCAGAAGTGCTTACTGTCTCCATCATTGCTCTGATTATGGAGGCAGTAAACATCTCTGAAATGTCAATTTTCGCCAGGCTACTTAGCACAAAATCGCGGAAGACAGCCATTATCAAGATTCAAGAAGTGCTGTTGCCACTCTTGAGAGAAGAAAATTATTTTTCTCAGTAGCTATGGTACTGGTGATTTACAGTCCAGTATTTTAACTCGCTAGTTTTTCTGATGAAAGGTTGTGTTGTACAGGTTGTCTTGTTCCTGGTGCTGGAGCATTTGAAGTAGCAGTAAATCAGGAGTTGCTCCAATACAAAAACGAGGTGAGGGGCAAAGCTCGTCTTGGCATCCAGGCCTATGCTGAAGCATTTCTTGTCATTCCCAAGACACTTGGTGAGTAGCTTAGCCGGTTACATTGTCTTGATGCTGTTTTGTAACAAATTTTCACTGCATAATACCTGCAGTGCCATATAAACTGCGAATCTCATAATTTATTTGCCATGAATGCATTTAAGTTTTCTTCTTTGGGTGGCTTTTTTGGGTTGTAAGTGTTGTAAATAGAATATTACTTATTTATAAAGTGTTCCCATAACATCAAATTTGAGTTCTTTATTTTTAACATACTAAATGATTTTGTTGTAGAAGATGTGAAAACATACTGATTTAAACCCAGAATGAGACGGTACAGATTTACAGACTATAGAAATAGAGAATTAACTATTTTGTTGTTTTTGTAGCTGCAAACAGTGGTTTTGATGCTCAGGATACCATTGTGAAGCTGCAGGAAGAAGCACAGCTACTTGGTGAGCCAGTTGGCTTGGATGTTAATTCTGGAGAGGCCATAAGACCAGCTGATGTAGGGATATATGACAATTACATTGTTAAGAAGCAGATTATCAATTCATGGTGAGTCAAGGAATTTAGTGATCCCGTTAGTATCGCACCGTCATCAGTACCATTTAAAATTGACTTGTTCTGTATCTTTGTTCTGCTTTTGTTTGCTTCAAATGAACATGCTGTTTGTTTTGTCTCATATTTTATTACAACAGTATGGTGTTCATATACCACATTGTTTTTTCTGTTTCAGTTCTGTGATAGCAAGTAATCTGCTGTTGGTGGATGAGATTATGCGAGCTGGCATGTCGTCACTGAAAGGTTGAGACCGTCGTGAGGTGATTCACAGATACCAGCATTCCTATTGAATTTCATTCTCATAATTTCTTCTAAAAATCAACAACTTTCTTTAATAAAATTTAATAAATCAAATAAATTACCACTTTCCTAACAGAGGTTCTCTTACTACATTCTTAAAATTAATGAAATTTCATACCTAACACCAAAGTGTATGTTACATTTTAAATGCATTTGATGGCGGTACTTCAAGCGAAGACACGATTTTATATGTATTTATTATTAGTTAAAAAATCTGTATGTTTCAATTTGGCATATACCTGTATGATTAAACTCATAAGTAACATTATTTTCTTTTGGCCTAGCTCCTGTTATATTGCTTCTGGTTTTCTAATGCTGAAACTATACCGTGATGTATTTTATCATTTCTGTGTGTAAGAAAGTATAGTGTTACTTAAAAAAACTTGTTAGAATTGAAAATAATCTGTAATAAAGTCCCTTTTGATTATTATCCAGAAACAGTCTGAATGATGGTTCCGATTTCAGAATGTTTTTCGGTTTAATAAATTTGGAAAGAGCAGTTGCTTTATACTTTCTTTCCTACCCTATGAATTTGGTTCAAATTGTGGCATTGCCCATATTTGTATCACATTGTTCCAGTTATAGGAAGGGCCAGCTATGTACATCACAGTCCTTGTCTCAATTTGGAAATATAATTTCCATGGAAAAATTGCAAGAAAATGTTTATTCATGTCTTCCATAAATTTAAATCAATGGAATCATTTGTGACTTGGATAAATCATATTTTGTTTGAATGTTTAAGTCAATTTTATTAACTTTCATTTAGACAAAAGTATAGTAAATGGAAGAGGCTGGGCCACATAGACAATTTATGTAATTTAAGAACAGCTAGGAAGCTTAATATAAAATAATTTAGGTAGATTTCGATAAGAAAGGGTGAATGTGGGACCAGATCTCGAAGAAGTTTAAAATTACTTTTCCAAATATACAGAAAGCGATATGCAATGTGGATTTGTACTTAACCTGATGGGAGGTAATTATAACCTTCATAACAACATTGATTTTAGCAATAGCGATGTACGACACCAGAGTGTGTTGGGCATCTGGGGCGTATGAAACTAATCAGGATGACCAATGGAAGTAATTGTCAATAACATATTCAACAGCATTTTCCCAATTAATATAATCTTGTTTCTGATAATTTTATAAATGCATCATAAAGTCATTTATGGTAGACCATGATTTAGTAGTTTAAACGTTCCACATACATAGTTTCGTCAAGTTATTACTATAGCAATGGTTGGTCACAACGTTAATAATCTAGACGCCATTATGGAATCGTTGGTAGGCTATGGAAGCGACGACGAAAGTGGTGAAAATTATCAATTTAATAAGGTAAGTGTTACAAAAAGATGAATATTTTATGTCTCATATACATAGAATTGTTTAAGGAAGTGAACTAAGTTTCAAGCTTGTATTAGATATAGTGATTGATGTCGTCAATCGTATTTGTGCGTTCGCACCGTTGGTTCTTGGTTGATTCCAAATAAAGTGCGTAATGGATGCCATATTTCTGTTGTATAATTTTTATATCATTAACCCTAAGGTTCTGTTCGTAATTAGAATGTAGTTTTTATGTTTCTTTTCGAGCTTCAGAAAGAAGATATAGAGAGAGGTATGGACAGGTTTCGGCAAGGCGAACAAGATGTGAACTATGACAATGTGCAGATGGATATGAGTGAGGTATGAAAATATTTTGTTTGTATCAGTTTTGGGTGGGAGAGACTGAAAGATTTCAAACAGTGTAATGGGCCTTATTGTTTGTTAAGGATAAGCATTATCCCAGTTCGTTAATTCAGTTTTATTGCAAAATGATTTATTTCATTACTAGATTTAAGATATTTTTGCAAATGTAGACATATACTAGATATTAATAGTTCCCTGATAGCAACCCCGTAATAACACAAACTTTTAAAGGGAGAAATGAAAACTTTAAAGTGCTTCAGCCAGATACCTTGTAAAATGCAATATGCCATCGGAAATGTTTATAAAGATCAAAAAATATTAACACGCTCTGTTAAATATACTACCATGTGCATGGACAGTGGTGCCAATGCCATCGCAAGGCGAGATGTGTAAAGTTGCAACGCTCTGATCTTCAAATCAACATTCAACAATCACACGATGTGATGGGGTGAGTACCAGCAGGCCAGGTATACTGAGAATATCTTACCAAGTAAGTGTCATACATCCTAGTATGTAGGAATAGCACATCGAGGGCAACAGCAGCTTGTACCAATACAGTTATTGGGTAAATGTAGATATGTACGTGCTTGAATGTGGTCAAGAGAATTATGGTCCTTTTGGAATGAGGGCTATATCAAGGCCTATTTTTGAAGTAACAGTAACAATTGTACATATTCATAGAGCTGCTCATCTGTCTTTCCTTTTAAGATGGCAGGTTTAACTCATTTTACCCAGAAATGACAATGTGTTAAGACCATGGTTAGCATATTGTTATGTGCATTTGAGTGTTGACTGTTATACTCGTAATACATCTGCATGCTGAGTTGGTCTTTCTATGGAAAATGTCATATAAGGTTACACTTTTCATAACATAATTTTAATCAGCTACGTAACTTACTTTTCATTTTGTTACTAATTTTATATTTACATGATTTAGTATTAATATTTTATTTAATGTAGGATCAGTAGCATAACATTACTATTCAATCATCAAGTGATTTATTATATTAGTTTGTAATGCATACATAGGTTTCCTCAAAGAAATCATAATTTTATTTGAAATTGGTTAACAAGACTGTTAATTGAAGTAGAGGAATGTTCTGATTATGATTCATTGTTCAGTGAAGCGCATGGTTCCAAGAGTTGGAAACAATGGCTTTGACAGCAGTTGGCATGATAACAGTGGGGCAGGCACATATCTGAGGTTTGATTAATGCATAATTTCTCTTCTTATCAGGAGTCAAACAACAACCATACTGGTAGTAGCAACGAGGATGATAAGTCTTCTACAAAATCATCATCGTCCCATTCATCACGGTGTTCGGACAACTCTGTGGCCAGCAGTAGGGGTGCTGAACGAGGTATGAGGCGAGAGGACGCTGTGAAGGATGGAAAACCTGGAAATGGGATTGCCCCAACAGAAACATGCAACAAATGGGAACAGGGCAGTAGACACAAGATAGAAGAGACACACAGAGAAAGGTACTCTAAAGGAAAATCTGACAGAGAAAAGAAGGACCAAAATGTACGTCATACCAGCAGGGAGCAGGGGCACCGTGAATACAGGTTAGCCAACTGTTCATAGCATCAGATATGCGCAGATTGCATATAAAACACTATATAATCATTTAAATTTTTTTTGTACACAGTTTGAGTAATCCTTTTACACTTTACATTTTTCAATTGGAAAATCTAGAGGCAGTAACAGAGTGAACTTGCCAGAATTATGCGATGCACATATTTTTTTAACTTGTGGGTGTGGTTTATCTTGTCATGTGGTACTTTAAGCTAACAGTGACATAGAATGCGACAGATGTGGACTCGGCGTAAAAGATAAATGTTTCAAAAGTTTATGAAAGACTCTCGGGCCGCAAGCCACGTCAGGTGGCCGAATGGCGAATAGACCACGTCCTCTTTCGATGTTTCGAGAGCCATCTCTGCTCTCATCCTCAGGGCAGCTGCATAACAAAACTGGTCCTCCGAGGATGAGAGCAGAGATGGCTCTCGAAACGTTGTCAGAGGATGTGGTTTATTTGCCATTCAGCTGCTTGACACGGCTTGCAGCCCGAGAGTCTTTCATCAACTTCGGTTGCCACGAAAGCTTCACATTTCAAAAGTTATTTAAAGTACAGAATTATTGCAGTAATCACTGTAAATATCCAATGTAGATTGTATTGGGTTCAAATGTCTTTCAGGAAGTAGAAGTTTAAATATGTTAAGAAATTAAAGAAATACTTTGCACTCATACATTTGAGTGCATGGTCCACAGTGATAATGTTTCGCTACTTTTTACGCAACAGTTTGATGTTTATGTACTGGTTATTAGCTTAGTTAAAATTTTGATACAATTATCATTAGCAGAGACATAGTGTGCTGGTATGATTGGTAAATGGTCAAAGGGGAAAGATGTGGATTCAAATAAGTTATCTCCTTCTATGGCTCTACAGTCCATATTCAGTCCATGGCCTCCTCAATTCTCCCCTTCCATTCGGTCCCCTGTTAGGTCCGTCTGTCCGAGGCTTTGATCGAGGTTTCGAAACATCTTCCTTTTTACGGTGCAAGATTCTTAGCCTTGCGACCAACTCTCAAACTGGAGGACCAGGGTACCTGTCTTAGTCTGACCTCTCCCCCTCGACCAATCTGGCTAGGGAGGCCCTACCAGTAGCTCTTGGGGTCACTGAGGTACTCAATCCCCACAACCATGACAAGGTGCAGGTACCATTAAGTGGGGAAAATAAGTTATAATGATATATTATTTAAATTTGTATGCAGAGAAAGTGAACATTCAGGACACGTTAAAGGCCGGGAACAAGACCGTATGAAGAGAGATGTTAGGAGAAGCAGGTCTCGCAGCAGGGAGCGAGACCGGGAGAGGTAGGATTTTTATGGTACTTTGTGATCGTTATGCATTTTAATCTTTGTGAGCTTAATAACCTTAACACTTGAAATAAAAATAATTGAATTGTGCATGTGAATGTCAGTATACTGAATTTAAAACCCTTCCGTATAGACGTATTTATGTCAAAAAATTTCACGTTAATGAAGTTTTATCAGATGGTTGCTGGATGACTTACATCGGAAAATTTTCTCTTAATGGCATGTAGCTCTAATGTGTGTATATGTTATAAAATTGTTTGAGATTTGTTCGTCATGTTCAGGCAGAGGTCACGGAGCCGTGACCAAAGTAGCAGAAAGCATTCACGTAGCCCTGTAAACAGACAAGGTTCATCTCGACATCGGGATGAAGCATCGTCTCATTATAAGCGCTCACGTAGCCGTGACAGGTACAGGTACAGTTAAATAAATATTTGTTTTCTGCTTTCATATGTCATACTCGGTAGTGTTTCACGAGTCAGAGATTATTATAATAAATAAGGAAACTAGTTGAACAGGAAATTTAAGTGTCAGTGGAAAATTAAATTTCACTTCTGTTGTTTTCATGGTGTGACAATTGAAAAAAAATTTACTGTAATAGAAATCACATTTGCTTATTTGGAGAAATAGTAGTTATATGGGCTAGTATTTGTTCACAGTTTTGCCCACTGCATTTTGAATGTGATATTTCTTTCTATTTTGATATGTTGAAACGCCTAGTTTCTTCATGTGAATCTTCTTTACACCTAGTTATAGTTGCTTCCTTATACTACCAAGGTAATTATGTTTTTCTTTGCAATTGGCCCTACTGCTGAATGTGTACAGCAGGGGTGGCCAACCCGCGGGCCGCATGTGGCCCGCCTTGAACATTTTTCCGGCCCGCGAGATTCATCACACTTTTACAAAATATATTTATATTTAATTTTTAGTGCTATATATTTCTTTACAATGTACGCTTAGTATCATTATTATTATATTATCTATGTTTACATGTAAGAATAATAGTAAACACAATAATAATAACTCATTATGTTTCAATTTTTCACTCCAAAAAAATGTCTATAGTGTATCTAAATCTAATATGGGGATATATAATTTTATATGTGGCCCGCGGAGTTATGATGCATTTCCAAAGTGGCTTGAAAGATCATTTGGGTTGGCCCAACCTGGTGTACAGAGTCACAAACACTGAATTTTAATTCTGTTGTAGTAGCATATTTGACCCTGACTGTTCAGTTGTCTTACATCGTGACAGATGCTGAAACTCATCACGTGATGTGCCACAGGAAACTGTATACAAATGGATTTAAGTGCCCCAAAATTGCATAACAAGTCTCACTGACACAGAACAATTAGCGTGTTTCACATCAATAGCTGAAAGTAGCATTGAATAAATATGTGTGATTTATTTATTTATTTATTTCGTATCGAAATACACACCATTCAAAGTAGAAATCATTAAATGATCTGCTTAAGAAGTTATCTTCGACAGGAAGTGCATATGTAGTTTTGCACCGAGGCAAAATAATTTTTCTCAGAGAGCGTAACATTTGTGCAACAGTAGACCAGATGTGCTCAAAATATGAGACTGCGTTATAAAGTGAAGTAGTAGGTGTGCCTAAGATATGTACTTGAATTTGTTACAGGAACAGGCGATCTTCGCCAGGCAGCAAGCGCCACAGGTCACATAGCCGTGACCGTGGGAAATCTAGCAGTAGCAGTAGTGGCAGCAGCAGGCGAGGCAGCTATGAGAAGAAGCCAAGCAAGCTTACAAGTTAGTCATGAGACAGATGCTTTATAATTACAAAGTTTTTTGATCTTGCATGTTTTATCTCAGGCACGATTCTTGGGATTTTGGTTTCACCATCACCTATCTGGAGTGTGCCCCCCCCGCCCCCTTGCAGGTTCTTTTTCATAAATGAAAGTGGCAGGAGTGTGACCCGAAGTATTTACCGTTGCGGAGATGATTGTCTTTTGGGTTATTTTGTACGGATGATGGAGGCAGCAAGCACGTCTACCAGACTACATGGTGCGACATCCAACTAAGACGGTCATCTTTGTACATGCCACCTTGAGAACCTGAAATCTCGCCTGTTTACCATCATCTTGTATTGCATGCAGAATGGGAGGAGCTGCGCCTCTCTGCCTTGATAAATGTTGATATATTTACAGGGACAGTGTTTACTAAAGAATTTTTATTTTTTCCTGTATTATTTTCTGCAAATATAATCTTAATCTCAGTTTGTGAGCTGCCAAAAACTCTTGCGGCATTCAGACTGCTAAACGTTCACGGATGTATGATGTCTCAATGCTCGAAGGCCACATTTGCTCTGTGCGTCATGGCTAGACTGCAGGATATGTTTCTTCTATTTATCACATGGATGATAAAAGTGGGGTAGTTCCTTAGAAAAATGATAACGATATGAAACCGTGAGAGTGATGTTTCTGCCCACTAATACAGTGACCGCTTGTTGCTGTTTTTTTTTGTGGAAAACATTCAGTATTGTTACCATGAATGATGAATCTTATTATTGTATTTTATTTTTATGCTTGTGTCAGTCCTGGAGAGATTGGGCATTGAACTGAGACCACCCGAGGCTGTACCAGCAGTGACGCCGCAGCAGTTGCTGCAGAAGTCGATAGAGCAGCAGGTACAACAAGTGAAGACCAGTACTGGTATTGAGCTGCCGAAGTATTACAATCCTGCGGCCATGAACCCCGCGCGCTATGCAGAGCAGATGCAGAAACGAAAGCTGCTGTGGGGAAACAAGGTGAGTGTGCGTGTTGTTGCTTCTTGTGACGGAAATAGCCACAGATTTTTGGGCATAATAATGTTACAGAAATGTGTTCATCATCTTCGGCATGCCTCTTTGTCCGCATGTGACAATGCATGAACTGCAAAACTGATCTTTATGAAATTTGATGGTTAGGAAAATGTATTCACTCATTTCTACCAGTTTTGGTTAAAATCAGATAACAGTAATGGACATCGTGAAGAACCGTGTATATTTCTCACATTTTTTGAAGGACGTTCAAGGGAAAATTAAAATACTCTTCTAGTGTAAGTTTTATGGTTTTGAGATAATTGAAAGGCGTTTCAATTCTTTGTTGTCTTATAATTTGTCAACCATGTTCTTTATCAATAATACTATGATTCTAATATAAATTTTATTGTGATACTGAGTACTTATTAGTGTCATTACATTTCTTCCCTAAATACCTCGTCATTGTGGTGTTACTTTTATCTTATCTGGGGATATGTTGTGGATTCTTTAAACTTGTGACAAACACAGGCCCAAGATGGGAAAACTGAGGAAGTAAAGCCTGCTTCAGTTTCAAATAACAAGTGGGAAGGAACGACGTTCGCCCAGGACCAAGATGGCAGGATGACCGCAAAGTTCAAGCGGCTGATGGGCATGAAGGATGCTGGAGGTATGCAACTTCTCATTCTTTTCTCGTTACTGAACATATTAGTTATTGTTTACTGCTCATAAAGGTGGATATTATTTATATAAGATTTTGTATATTATCATGGTGGTTTTACCGTTGTGAATGATGTGATTGGATCAGAACGCTAGAAAGTGTTAACTTGAGATCTGTTATTTTTCTGCAGATGAATCACTCTCAGATCTGTAGTCTTACATCCCAGCTAATAATGGCAGAAGACAGCCATCTTCGGACTCTTCGCCATGAAAACTTCAAATCCTACTTATTGGAAATTAAATATGAATGAATATGAATGAGTTGTTCGGTTTTACGAGCAGAATTAATGTAATTTGTACATTTACCTTTTTGCTTCTCCCAGCATAGATGAATTCTATTTTTCCAGCATTATATGTGGTTTATACTTCCTGAGGCATCTGAAAATTTAAAATATGCTTGACTTTATCTCTGTATTTTCTCCAGGATCAGGTGTTGGTTGTGCCTCCAGTGGCCCATCCTCCAATCCTGAGGGCAGCGAAATCTTGAAGAAACAAGAGGAATTGTTCAACTCGATGGAGATGCAATATGAAGTTGCCCGCGTTGCCACCCATACACATCGGGGAGTAGGGCTTGGTTTTGGGACTTTTCAGTATCCTCGATAGCGTCGTCATGTTTGTTGAGTGATTAAAAGTTCAGGGTACCTCAGTTTCCAGGGAATAATGTTTGAAAAACAAGTCTTGTAAGCGAGAGATCTGTATAGTACAAACATAGTTGGTGGAAGATGTTAAAGCTGAGGTAGTACTTAAGTGGTCATCTTCAGAAACAGCGAATTAAGGATTTAGTGTTTCCGTAAAGTACTAGTGACAGAGCGCATTTTCCTACTCCTTGAACCACTGTATGTACATTGTGTATGTACACTGCAGCACGTATAATCTGCACTTGGAGCCTCTTTATTTTGGCTTAGTCATAATTCTGTGTTCACGGCGGTTTTCATAGCATTTGCTGTTAATGATAGAAACTATGGAAACTTGGTGATTGTGATAGTGATTGCTTTTGAATATAAGTGTCAATGAGTCTGGAAGATAAATACATTGATAATAAATGTCATGTGTTTAAATTTGGTGTGTAAAATTTAGTCATCATTTCTTATTTATATTAATCATATGAGAGTCAGAATTGTTCATATTAAATATGTGCATATTCTAGGGAGCTTAATGAGGGGTGTGAATTATAAAATACACATTGACAGTAGTATGGGACGAGGCGTGCACCGGGTATTGGCTGGGAAGCCTGAGGGGAAGAGACCCGCTGGGGAGACCTAGACATAGATGGGAGGATAATGTCAGGCGGGATCTATGGGAGATAGGAGTTGAAGGAGTCTGGATTTCGTTGGCCCAGGACAGGGTCTGATGGAGGGCTTTGGTTAATTCGGTGATGAATCTTCGAGTTCCGTAAGCCATCTAGTTAGTTATATGGACAGTAGTAATCAAAATGAGTGTTACCTGGTATATTGGACAAAATAAATGTAGGCAGCTGGGTATATTCTTCTGAAGTAAGTTCTGAGAATGAAAATGCCGTAACATTGTTTATTATTATTTATTTTAAATCCATCATCTAGTGATGTTTCTGTCTGGTTTTGTCATCTCATAATAAAGCCTTTTCAGAAATGTTCTTGAATGTGTCCACTCTTCCCATGATTTTAATTGGTTGGTTTCTGCGTACAACTGTATTAGTAATGTAAACAATACTATAATGCCGTTACTTTCAGATCTTTCCTTCTTTTTCGTTACTTGATACTCTGTAGAACTTTGTCTCTGCTGCTTATAATCTTGAATCTCTCTTCGTCCTTGGCCACATTCTACTTCATAGGTCAAATTTAAGTAACATAACCTCTTCAGAGATTTCCAGTTTCAAATGATATGCCCAGGATTCCATGTTCTAGTCATTTAAGGATTTTATTTTCTTGTATTCCTTTATTCCCCCATACCAGGACATCATCTGTGATCATTGTGGATAAACTTGATCCTTTGTGTGGTTCAAGATTCACACCACCCTGATGAAAGAGGAAGTAAGCACCTCTGAGATGTCAGTCGGCTTCTACCATGCTACACGGCGCAACATCTCAATATTCATGCATGATAAATAATTTTTAAGTTTTCTGATCAATGTGCGTGTTTTACAAACACTAGAAAAGCACTTTTGATTTTTACATATGAAGTTCTACAGTTTGTTGACGATTTAAATACTAGTAACAGGTTTTTATTTGTTTAACAAGTATTTGCTGGTTATAACCTGATACAGGAGAATTTATTTGAATCGTATGAATATAGCTCTTTTTTTATTGGAAAGCGTGTTTTTAATTAACAGACTAAAATTCAGTTTAACATGTGTCACTAGATTTTTGTATGTGACGACCTTTGTACAGGCATGTGAACAAAGTTTTGTCTGGGCATCTTGTCTGTTGTGTTGCAGTAGGCACCAACATGAGAAGGGTGCTCAGAAACAGTCTGTGCCATGTCACCAGTATAGTGCATGTAAGTAGGATTTTTTGGTTTTCACAGCGGCGAGTATGAAGATGGCTGTCTCCTGGGCTCTTGCGCCATGTTTTCTGGTAGAAGTTTACAGACGTTTCGGAGGTCCTTGCCGACTCTTATGACTCAAACCGTTCAGTTACTGTTCTGCTATATAAAATAAAAGGTTTTTTGTAATGGTCCTTTGCAAATGTCGAACTGAGGGTGGGAAACCACTACTGTGAGATATCCTTGCACTAGAAATCTTTCTCTGCAGGCTTAAGGCCAACTAGGGCTTCAGTCTTCTCCCAAACCTTCTTGGCAAGTCCCTCATTCAATGCTTTATGTGAAGGTGTCACAACCTATTGGAGAAACAGAATGTTCATTAACTTCACTCCTTGGTACTGAGTAATTGTGAATTAAGTAAAAACTTATTATCTGCATCCCAGTGGTAAGGATCTATTTAAATGCAGGGGTGAATGGTTGATGTTAACCATGTTTGCCCAGCTAACACAGTTAACATGAATGCTCTGCCCTTGGTAAAATATTATATTCATTATTTGTATAGTTGTGAAATAGTCTCTTACTTTGATGGAAGAATACAAATACTTAGTGTCTGAGAAGAAAGTGCATGGGCTAAAGTGGGATTATGTAAATATTTAATTCAGGATACGTGATCAGGAACTCTTGGTTTTGTGCATAGTATAATGAGAGAAATGCAGTCTAGGAGGCTATGGTGAACAGGAGAAGTGCATGCAGAATTTGGGTAAGGAAGTCTTTGGTAGTTGGAACTTCAAAGACCAAGTAGAATATGGGAGGATGATATTAAAATGGATCTTAAGTAAGAACGAGTTGTGAGTTTGGGAGGTGGAATGAACTGGGTCAGCATTGTGTTTGATGGTAGGCTTTGTTATCAGTAGTGTCAGACCTTCAGATTCTACTGTGCTATGTGTCAAGACCCTTTAGACGCAGTGCTGATTTGACTGGCAAGATATTTAATAATCTATAGAATGGGACATTTGTTATAAATAAGAAAGATGCTGAGTGAGTTAGGGTAAAAGTAAATTATAGCCTAACACTGGATACAATGAATAATTCCCCTATAATGTGGTTAATAGGATCACATAAAATTTGAAGTAATAGTTAAAAGTTCAACTACACATAGAAAAACCTATTAACAATTTTAATGAACTTCGGTAGCTTTCTTTGTAGTTAATGCATCTTACCTGACAGTCACAGAAAAACTGGCCAGTCACGTCATCTAAATCTTTATCAACTGCCAAAAAGATGGATGTCTGAGCAGCTTCTCGTTCACTCTGGATGTAAAACAAGAATGCAAGGTCAAATTTTGGAGTTCATGAAACTGCATAGTACCATCTTGGCCCAAACATAATGCTTTCCTCTAAATATTGTCCTTTGCGGACTGGCTTTATGCATCTGTTATTAAATTTTTTTGGAGATCCATGGATCTACATAACAAAACTATGTACATATAATTGACAGTCAGTTTCTAATATGGTACAGTAGGCCTTCATTATACCACACCCCAGAATCAGACGTTCCACATGATTGTGTGCCCAGAGACAAATTAGATAAATTTTGTTTTCACATGCAAACAACACATTTAGGAAACATTTGTACCCACATACCTTGAAAAACATTTTCAGTATAAATTTGAAGATGGGTTGAAGTAGACCAGGTAGATAATTCCATGTCCTTGTGTAAACCAGACCAGGATGAACACAATTAACTGTCACTCCTGCAGACATACAGATTGAAGAGAATGGGGCCCTGCTCTTGTTGTACATGAACAGGGATTAATGCCCTTATAACTGATAACCATGTTAACCCTTTAAGCCCTGTGAAAACTATATGCTTTAAGTCACTAACTCTGCATTCTGCCCATACCGTGTTTATGTTTAGTGTAAACAGCAGTTATTTCCTTAAACATCATTCATCAACTGATCTTTGTAATGGTGAAGTGTTATATTTCCTTTCTTTCACATAATTGTTACACCAACTTCAACTTGTCAATAAAATTCTTGCCAATTTGCCATCATAATAATTGTACGCCATTACAGTGCTTTGAAGCTCAGATCTTATCTAAAATATCCTGAGAGGCATAGAACCTACCTGTTCCTTTTAGCTTCTTGGCTAATTCATTGGCAATCATCATGTTTGCCAACTTGCTGCAGAAATAAACTTGACTTTCATTGAATTTCTTTTCACAGTTCAGATTATCAATATCAAATTTGGCACAATGATGTAGCAATGAAGAGACCATTATAATTCGGCTGGGAGCACTCTTTTTCATTTTTCCTGTAATTAAAGCAAATAAAGATTTCAGGAAAGCATTACAATGCTATTATTATCGGGCTTACAAGTACACGGCATTTTACATCATTCAGTAACCATCAATTAACCCAGAAAGTTGAGATAATTTTTCATAGTTACTAAAGCAACTGTGGGATTCACAAAGCATCACAAATCAATATTTAAGGTCCGTTTAAGGACTGAGCTATCAGTTAGATGAAGTAAAGACTTAAGAAAGAAAATCAACAAAAAATAGTTTAATATTATGTACTGGGTATTTCACAACTTTTTGTAAGCATTTATTTTTTCTTATATTTTTATCTTTCATCTAAAGGACAGTTTTTATTGAAATAAAATTATATATACAGTGTTTAATAAATACAAGCTCTTCTAGAAATCCAAAAGGAATTCTCAAATATATATATACTAAAAGTAGGACATAAATCATTCTTGCAATGTACAGGTTCAGAATTGTTAAACTAAGATTCAATAAAGGATTTACATATTCCTTACTTCCTGTAATATTGGAAAATAATTGGTAATGTTTACAGGTTAAAATATAAATTCCTGTTTGCTGACAGTAGTATAATTACTTTTTATGCTGCTCTCACAATTTTGTTAGGTTATGTTACACTTGTTGAAAGGAATATTATTTTAATCTTTGCTTGCGGTGGGCTGAACAGTGTTGCTAAATACTTAAGAGACAATGTGATTTTATCTTTAGCAGGAGTACAAACTATCATGATCACAAGACAATGTTATTAAGAAAGATTAACAAGATTCTTTGGTCCCTGGCCCCATAGTTGACTATGTATGGATGCCCTCGCTTATGAAAGTAAACTTACCCACTAAGAGGCATGTGAGCAGAAAAGGTCCAAAATGGTTCACTTGCATGCCAATTTGAAGATTGTCTTCTGTCTTCTTATTTCCCAGACCAGTAGCGCCTGCATTATTGATGAGAATGTCTACACGTGGCTCTGTGTTAATAATGTTGTTGGCAAACTTGCGAATTGATGCTGGAGAACTCAGGTCCAGATGTTGTACCTCCACTTTTGTGTTTTCAGTTCGTTTAATAATCTCATCTGTTATTAAAAGGAGCCAATTGAACATGTATTAGAAACTCTCACTGGAAGCTCCATGCAAGTAATGTGTTTGTGTTATGCCCGTTTAAAATGTCACTAAGGACATGGTGATATTCCTCTAATATTTCTCTATCTAGTCAAGGAAGTTCATGTCAGTCATGGTCTTCCACGTGATGCCATGTGGTCTTGTAAGTGGTCCTGAAAATTGAGCGCGTTACTCTGAGACGTAACGACCTACAAGAACACGTTGCATCACAACTGATAACACCATGATTCACATCTTCTGTGCTTTGAGAACTTAAAATCTAAGAAAATGTATGTTATTATAAAAGTCAAAGGTTCATTATGTTCATCACAAAAGTGTGCCCTTAGATCCCATCCTGAACCACTCAACATAGTTTTATTAAAAATCATACGAACTTCTTACCACAAACAGGTTAACATTACTTAATTTTCTTTAAGATATCTGTTGATTTCTTTTTCACTTCTTCAGAAAATGATGATAACTGGTTTCTTTGATATAGTTGCAGGACACTTACCACAAACTATCTGCCCCTTCTCCACATCTCTGCAAGCAAGTATCACCTTACCACCTCTGAAAGCCAAGGCAACTGCTGTCTCCTTCCCAATTCCTGAAACACAACGAATACACCCTTTCTTTACATCATGGAAAATATAATATTAGTGCAGTTAATTAAAGAAAATTCCCTGCCTCTTATGAAAATCATTGGTTTGTTTTCACAGGTCTTCCACCATCCCCTGTCCTGAACTATCTTATTTCTTCAAGGGTGATTTTAATATTATCCCCCCATCTGCATCTAAGTCTTACAGCTGTTATCTTTTCTTGCTCAATGTTGCCAGTACCATTTTGTACGCATTTCTTCTGCGTACCCCACTAATCTCATACTTTTTGATTTGATCACCCAAGTAATACTTGGTGAAGAACACAAATTTTAAAGCTCCTCGTTGCTTAGTTCTGTTGATCCTCTTGTCACATTCCTTCTTAGGCCCCAGCCTTATGCAACTTTGGCAGGATGCTTGAATTTTTTATCTAAGCTGCACAACTAATAAAAATTATCTTGAAGCAGGAATATTAACTGGAGGGTTCATGCTAATTTATTCACATATTTTGCTACATTAAATCAACTGCTGACGTTATATATTGTATTAGACTAGCATTTGAAAATGTGACAGACAAAAAATTTGCTATCTCTCTTTTAGTGGAATCTGAAGGTTCAACACTACTAACATAAATCATTAAAAAATTATTGTCTGTGTCTGTTATAACCCATCGCCCTCTCAGTCTTCCAGAGGGTTTCTTGCCAAAATTCTATACTTATTTCTTGTCTCCTAACCCCAGCTACATGCCTATCCCATTGCAGCCTCCAAAAATTCACTGTCTTAACAATACCAAGTGACCTGAATAAGTTGTCTAGTTCCTCGTTATGCAAGTTTCTATCGTACTTCTTAGGTACAAATATATTTGTGGTCGTATTATTTTCAAACAATTATTCCCTAACAGTGAGAGCCTGTTTAAAACAAGAAAGTAGAATTTTCATAGCTCTTGAAATCGTGCCGAATATTGCTAGGCGTTTTAAGTTGTACATGAATAGCCATTGGCCAAAGTTTTAAAAACTACACGAACATTTGTTCATACGTAACTTAAATTTACATACAAGAGCCAGTTCTGACGCAGGTCTAGATATCTGCATCAGAATCCGGTCACAAGTCTGTTTTGAATAGCTTAAAATATTCCATGTTATTAAATCATTTGGTTTATGTTCAAAACTACTGAATATTCAGTATATGTTGAAGGTAGGAAGTATTCATATTTAGATTTCCACTTCTTTGACCTCCTGGCCCAATGTCCTCTATTGTTAACAATGACGCCCTTACAACCACTTTATTATTTAATTACAACTAGTTAACAATAGAAGTACGAATAAACTATGTACAACATAATATTAATCTCGTTAATGACAAAATTTTCTGTCCACTTGAATGTGTGTTTAAATATATTTAAATTGTAGTTTGAGTGATTGTTCACTTTCTCCAACTTGAACCAAAATTCAACTCCGTATATTTTAAAAATTATTCTAAATGGGAGAATTTATTCCAAAAAAACTATTATATACGGCTGATTGGAAAGTCAACTGAAAATAACGCATTTTTAATTAATTAATACTCGCCTGAGTTTGCACCAGTAATGATGACTGTTTTTCCAATGATTCGTTTCATGCTCTTGCAAGTTCCTGTGGTCCATTTCAAGTATGCCTTCAGCCCTTTACATTAAAACAATCATGAATAACCATGTTAAAGGTTCGGGGTTCAAATCCAACTTTAAAAATAGCTTAATTTAACCCTTTGAAGCACGAATTTCATCTAAATAATATTTAAGTAATAAATACTTTTAAAAATTCACAAATAGTATCCGCTGCAAAGATCAGGTGTTTATAAAATGATCATTGTGCATTGTTAACAATATGAAGTCTATAGGTGCACTCTGCGGACAAGCACATATTTATTGAATGTTAAAGCAGATGGCACATTTATTTAATCACCGTGATTTAGTGGATTAAAAATTGTTGGGAATCTCGATTCTATTCTATATGAAACTTTCTAGAACTTGAAAGAACTCACCAGTTTTGAATATGAAATTGGAGACGTCTGTTTTTCAATGTCGTTCTTTTCAATTGTTGACATTTTTAAATATTTTTATATACATTTAGCATGATGACGTGAATACTTAGAGCCATTTGAACTATTTATTTATGTTTCTACTACAATATCTCGCATACAAACAGTAAAACCTGAAGCAGTTTTTCCGACATGTAATTGATACGTAACGTTTTAATAACTTCTTATTTTGAAAATATTCTAGTACGAATTACTTATAACTATAGGCTGCATAAACTCCAGTGTACTTGTTACATCTTAATGTCTTGACAACAATGTTCGAGGTATTCAGTTTAGCTTACGGGCCTCTATTGTTGAGTTTCATTACGCATTCAACCAGCACGTTAAATATTAAGAATTTAGAGTACCATCATAAATGTTCTATAAATTAAATCAACACTTTTTAGGATTTGAAAATGTTAAGAAGAAACCGTTTCAGTTATGTGAACGAATGTATCATGACTCCAGTAAGCCTATACATTGGGACATGTAACAAAGCAAACAGGCTATCAACATTCGGGACTATCAGTTTACAAAATACTATTAATATCACTGAATTGAATGTCGTTTTAGATTATACTATCGCAACATTTAAATATACTACTTGAAATTCGTACCTATTAATCCAAACACCATAATCCAGAAAAGATAATCGGAAATGGTTGGACCCAATATGACACGGAGCACAGGCTTCAGTAATCCTCCTGCCAAGAACATGATGATATTTAAAAGTTGATAAAGACGAAGCCTGTTGATCATTGTAGGATTTGAGGTTTTCACGGCGATGAGTCTGAAGATGGCTGTCTTTTGGGTTGTTGCCCCATCTAGTCTGGTAGAAGTTTACCGACATTTCAGAGGCTGTTGCTCATCGCCCTGATGATGGAAGCAGCAAGGAGCTCTGAAACGTCGGTAAATTTCTACCAGACTACACGGCGCAACACCCCAGAGGACAGCCATCTGCTGTTAATCATTCATCCTCACATAGTGAAAATAAGTTTTCAAAGTCAATTGAATAAAAATTTTTTTGGATATTATCCATCGTCTAGTAAATATAAAACGTAAAACGACGTTTCGGAGATGGGACTCTATCTCCGTCTTCAGGTTCCTATCCGGAGATAGGGATTAGCTCTATCTAGTGGGCCCAACTGAGTAGGAACCTGAAGACGGAGATAGAGTCCCATCTCCGAAACGTCGTTTTACGTTTTATATTTACTAGACGATGGATAATATCCAAAAAAAAATGTTATTCAATTGACTCTTCACCATCGTCAAGAAGTTTTAGATTTGATAAGTTTTCAAAGTGTTTGTCGCAGTTTGTTTCAAACACCTGTAAAGTCCAATTTGGTATTTGATAAGAGTTATCACTAAAAGAATAAACACGTTGTAAGGAGGAAAGAAACATATTTATCTGATTTATTTAGAGACCACATATTCAGCTTAAATTTTTGTCTATTTAATATTTAATTTATATGAACAAGCCTGTGTTTGGAATAAATTATGTTTACGCACCCATATAAAGTATTTATGGAGTGTAAAGACCGCATTTTGTCGACATTCATTTATCAAGAGCGTAGTTACCTTGCAGACGGACGTGCAGAGTACACTGGAAGTTTAAGCATAAGAAAGTCTTGTACCAGTGAAACACACTCCATCTCATTTTTGCAATTAGACATTTTTCTAGTAAGTTTTTAAATGGACATGCAACTACTACATATATTTGAAGTTCAAATCTGAAAAAATAAATTGGCTTCTCGTCTGATTTTCTTTTGTTTGTCACATTATCTTCACCAGCTAATAGGTCAAATTTTAGACGAAGAGAGATACATATACACTTGATATTTTCAACTGTAATACAACCAAACCTCATACATCGATCAACAATAAGCTTTTGATGTTTTCTGCATAAACAATGCAAATAAAAAAAATTATTTTTCACAACATACACAGTTTTTTATAGTAAAATATATTTAAAAAGGAAAAATTCAACAATGGAAAGATCATTATATTAATAATATGGCTAATTGTTAACCTGTGTAAGATTTTCACTGACTCTTAAAGCAGGCGCTGAAATGAAATCATACATATTATAATCAAGAATCTTTTAAAATATAGTATAATTAATAATAGAATTTATAAGTCAGTGGGCCAACTATGTCAATTAATGTTCCTTTCTGTGATCGTTGAATGCACAGACGTGGCTTATATTAATATAATGAAATGAATTCTCTAGTACCTTAAACATATGGTGGTTTGTAATTTTACAAACCCTTTTGGGCTAGAAATTACGAAAACATACAGATAAATACTGGAAACTGTATTATGAGTATGCAGCTCGTACCTAATATTGTAAGCATTATCACCCACAATGGGTAGAAAGTGTAGAGTATGTCGGTCATGTTGTTCACTTGCCCAAAACCACGATCAGCACTGAATGAGAACTAGTTGACAAATGGTGTACCCAACCATACGTAGAACCTCACACAACCAACAGACTGAATCTATTAACACCGACCAACCTTGATACATTCGTAATATTTGCTGTACGCACTACCGCTGTATGAATTTCACGAGTGTAGGGTTAAATACAGTAACAAACGCGTTTTCCCAACAATGCTGAGCGCAAATTAAAATCGTCAACATGTCGACAGCGAATAAACCGATTTTGATTAAATTTGATACTGAATATATTTACGAAAATCTGTCGAGCCATTTTTCAGACAACTTCGATTACCTTCTTACATGATAGCATAAATACTTTTGAGCTTATTTCGTTAGTATAAAAATATATTCGTCATACCATTCCATTGTTGTATGTTGTAGCCTAAGGAATTCAATATTCCTCGCTTTTTGTCTGAATTGTTGGACTAAGTCATTTAGATTTTGTTGCAACAAATGAAAACAGATTACAGCTCCTCTCCTTTGCACCCCGTTCATCCGCGAGTCTCTGCCTTACAACTCTTTCAACAATGTTAATTCTGTGAAGATAGATTTATTTCTCGAAAACCTTTAATTTCATCTGGGGAGGGGGTAATAAAACTTTGTAACTGCTGGTAAAAGCTCTGGGTTAAAGGTCACTGACTCCAGCCAGCACCAATTAAAAAGTCGAAGGTCATATTGTGGAGAAAGCTGTTTGTATATCTCCTAAACTGTTAGCGACGCTGTACTTCAATTGCCTTGGCATCCATTTTTCTCTTTTGTTGCATTTATAATCACATTGCAGTCAGGAAACATTATTCTTCGTGTTTTCTTAAATATTCTCCATATTGAAAAAATATTTCATGGAAAAGTTATTGGTACAGATCTTAATTAGGTCTATATTCAGTGCCATTCAACAATGTTTACACGAAATGACACTTTTGAGAGAAATTAATAAATTGAATTATTTCTTCATTGTAAAACAGGGATTATAACATATCACACCCATTCATAGCCACTTGACAGTGAGAAGTAAAGATTATTAGGATAGCAAATCAAGGAAGATGAGATAAGTATGGCATGTAGAGGAGATAAGAAATTCATATCAAATTTTAGCTGGAAAGCCTGAAGGGAAGATATCACTTGCTAGATCCAAGGATAAATGGAACTATAATACTAAAGTTGATGTAAATAAATAAGGTGCAGGTTTGATTCATCTGGCTTGAACACTGCAATGCATCTCTGCGTTCCATAAAGGGCAGAGAATTTCTTGAGCAGCAAAATAATTATTAGCTTCTCAAAATGGATTTTGCTTCATGGGGTTAGCTAGTTCTTTTTGTGTGTATAACTTAGGCATGCAACATAAAAAAATGGCTATTATAAATTAGTTTTAAAATTTCAAGTGAGGAATAGGTTATTTTACGTAAACCCGAGTTTGAAATTACGCTCTTTTGATAAGTGTCCAGTGGAGCCTGAATGGTCCAGTTATACATTTTTGTATAACACTCATGATAGTTTGTTGTCATACAGAAATGCCAGCATAATGAAACCAAAAAGAAAGAAATTGACCTTTTTCTGAGTGTCGCGGTCCGCATGTTAACGTGACGGTGACCTTATTCTGACAAGTCACAGACTTTGTTTCAGTCACAATTGGAACAGCAAGTCATGCCTTTATCTATATTCATTAACCTGTTTCTCACAGTGGGGAAAAAAAGTCACAATTTTAAAATAGTTTAATTTGAAAGGTAACTGGATAACCCAGTCTGCATCTAGGCATGACACAGCATTGTATGCTCATTTGTTTTTTATGCGGTCACTGAATAAGGTTGCATTTAATTTTTTGCTTGTTGTTCCATTCACCAGTCTAAATGTTTGATACCCAAAGCTATTAATGTATTCCAATTGAATTTGATATTGGATGTTTGCACCAAAAGATGCCAGCTAAATTTAAATTCAGTTCACGTTAATCAAAAGCAAAATGTGGTAGTTCCCCCCCCCCTTCTGAGGCCTTCTATTTTCCCCTGTTAGTATCATTCCAATACTGCTCCATATTCACTCATGTATCACCTGGGGGATAGGCAGTGGGCCCACTAGTGGCCAAGTTTTGCAGAGACATAGTTTTGCCACATCACAGTATTAGAAAAATATATATATTATTTATTTCATGATTGTAGATACATGTTGATTAATACCTGGTTACTGATTCACATATCAGCTCCTCATTAAATCCTGTACCATATATTAAAAACCTCAAGAATCAACAACTAAGTAATATATAATTCTTCTAAACACCAATTTTAAAACTGCATTCTCAGAATAGATGTCAGACTTTCTTGCTCTAAAAGTGCATTTCTTCTGGTTTGAGACCAACCATAGCTTCACTCTTCTCCCATAATGCCTTGGCAAGAAATTCGTCTTTTGCTGCTTTTGACGTACTTGCTTCCTGAAAGAATTATTTAATTCCAAGAAATTCGTCTTTTGCTGCTTTTGAAGTACTTGCTTCCTGAAAGAAGTATTTAATTTATCACAATTTCTTTTGCCATGAATCTTTTATTTTGGAAGAACTAATTCATCTTCAGGGCTGAAGACCACCATGAATATTATGAGACATATTTTATATATAATTTCCTTTAATTTTAATCACAATTAATTTTACCTGACAATCCACAAAATATTTCCCAGACACTCCCTCAACTTCTTCAGAAACTGCCAAGTAGATGGAAGTCTGTGCACCTTCAACAGCATTCTGAAATTTATATTATTGAAGAAGAATTTCAGATTGGGAAACTGCCTTAGCCGTAATTAATTTAATGAAGATAGACTAATTAATAATTTAATTCAAGGATAAGCTCTCTCTTTCCTTTCCAATTATACTGTGGTGTAATTTGGGGAATGAACAATAGCTCAGTCTATATAGTAAACAGTTATGGGCCATATACACTCATACACAATTTGGAGTGCACAATAATTCCAAAAGTGGTTTTTTGCCATATCATATAGGTCACTGTTGTGCAACAGTGTTATCCAACAATGATCTTGGGTAACGTGTACTACTAATCTGATCTGAGGTCATTTTTGTGCAATAATGTGTTCCAAAAATTACCTTTATCCCCTCTGTTGCATAACAATGTGTTGAAAAACGAGATCTGTTCCCACTGTTGTACGACAATGACCCCAAATCATGTAGGTTGCCTACCTCTGAGGAACCACATACAGACGGGCATGTCTGGGCCTACAAGGTTTTCTTTGCTTGGTCTAGAGCATGAAGAATGCTTAAAAATGTAACTAATTTAATGAATTAAACACAATAACAGTCAGGATGGACACACACCAGTTAGTCAAGACAAGATATGGTTAGACAATATAGCGTCAGAAAGGACAAGATAAGACATGTTCAGTCTATAGCCAGCAATGCACGCCAGTCATTTGATTGGTTATTCGCAAACAAGATGTCTAAGGATGAGGTTAATGTTATGGCTGCCATTATGACTTGGGAATTGTAGTGCAAGCAAGGCACTACTAGGAGAAGGTATTAGGGTCATCCATTTATTCAAACAGGATCAATAAAATAACTCACAGAATATAAATCTTATACTGAGCTGTGACCAAGAGTTTTACTTTCACTGGTTGAGATTTCTTGGAACACATTTGGGATCTAATAATGAAAAAGACTACTAATTACACATTAAAAGAAGTTTGTCTGTTGCAGCATGATCACAAAAGTGCAATAATTTATAAAAGCAAATTATTATTCATTAATTCTTTAGCGTTTGGTAAGACGGGCTTCAGTCAGATGTAATCCGTATTGCCTAAGCCCTGGTACGAGCAGACAAAAATAAAGAGACGCATTTAGACGTATCTAAACAGTGTACATTTTCCCGAAAATGGAAAATTAACTTTTCATGAAAGAATATGCCTAAGGCTGCCTTGTCTTGACCAACCAATGCATGCAGCCTTAACCTGTCCTGGGTCACAAACCTTGAAAAACAGCTTTAACGTGAAAGTAAGTAAGAATTGTAGTACTTGGGGTATATTTCGCCAAACATCTGTAAGCACTACTCCAGGATGAGCACTGTTTGCAGTAACTCCTGTAATCAATCACATGATCAGATACTGCATTAATGTTGAATTTTAAAACAATGTGATGTGAAATTGGAATTGATAGACACTCTCAATGCTCTTACCTGTCCCTTTCAGCTTTCTGGTTAATTCATTAGCTGTCAAAATATTGGCTAGTTTACTGCAACAGTACACCTGAAACATACTAAACCACTTGTCAGAATTGAGATTCTCGACATCAAATATGGCAAACTTATGCAAGATTGATGACAGCATCACTATTCGGCTGGGAGCTGATTTTTTTAAGAGATCTGTAACACAAGAAAGTGAATTGTTTATACTGATCAATTTCAGATATAATCATAAATCTTTCTATTAAGAATAGTTTGATATCCGGAAAACACATACAAATATAATTCAGACACTAAAATATTATGATTTAATGAAGACTACATTATGCCGTGACCTGCAAAATTTTGTAGTAAGGGTCTCCTTCTGAATTTAGAAAATAATTTTACAGTTTATGAAAATAAAATAAGTTTTTCATTGACAATATGTAGTAGTACCACTTGGACTACAGGTTGCAGATTTGTAATAACATGCCAAATTTTCTGTTACTGTGATTCGTCATCAATACCACACCAGTAATAACATGCCAAATTTTCTGTTACTATGATTTGTCATCAATACCACACCAAATATTCCATGCAGTAAATATATAATTTTCAAAACTGCCAACAAATTACCTAATACAATTTAAAAACATACTATTCAAATATTAATACCACAAAAAAAATTCAAGGACCCTATACTAATTGGCATGTTTTGCTTGCCTCACAAGATTAATCAGGAATGTAGTTTGACCTCTCCCAAATACATTTTTATAACAATGCTTAACTCTGTTCATTAGACTCTCTGCTTATTTAATTATGTTTTCTCAAGTGAAGAGATTAATTATCCATGAAATGGAGGATGGCTCTAAGTGAACAAATGGGACGTGTGTGCAAGGAAATTGTCATAGCCTACTTAAAGACAGGAAATTAGCATTTGTCTGGAAGGACACAGGAACACCATGAAAATTCTCAATAAGAATGACCAGCCTCAGGCCAGTGATCAAACCAGGGATCTTTAAAATGTTGATCACTTGACACTATCATATAGGTTGGAGGTAGGCATGGGGATACATGTATTCTACGAACAAGAAACTCTCTTACCAACAAGGAGACAGGTAAGCAAGAAGCCCCCAAAGTGGTTCACTTGCATGCCAAGTTGAAGATTATCAGCTGTAAACTTCTCTACAATTCCTCCAGCACCTGCATTGTTGATAAGCACATCCAGACGTGGCTCTGTGTTTATGATGTTATTAGCAAACTTGCGGACTGAGGCTAGGGAACTCAGGTCCAGGTGCTGAACTTCCACCAGAGAGTTCCCAGTGCTTGCAACAATATCAGCTGTCAGTAAACAATTCATATATCAGCAGATATGAAGTCAGCTCAACTCAACTAATTATTTGCAACTGTTGTAATATTAAACAAAACAAACAATAGCTTAAAAGCTAATTTTCAAACTACTAGAACCCAAGTTTTCGGAGCAATATGCCCTCCACACAAAATTCAATGATTATTGGTCACCAAAAACCTGTCCATAAAAGAGAGGTTAATATTAAATTAGAAGAGGCTTTGAGATAAACATCTTACCTCTTACATGCCTCAACAAATCAGAACAGTCAGTGACTCTCAGGCAGCTGTTTGTTATAACTGTTATGGCCACACTCAATTAATATTTTAGTGCAGATGTTCAAAAATATATGGTGCTTCAGTCAGTGGTTGTGTAAAACAAGATTATTCCAAGTATCTATAAAAGATTCTCAAAACTGAAATAAAACTTACTAACTTAATCCAATGAATCAGTGTTTGGCCACGTACAATCAAATCCAGTGTTGGTCTGAACCTGAAACAGGCTTTGAAGCCCATCCTTAGAGTGCAGAGAAAGAAGAAATTGCAAATTTTTACAGAGAAGTGCTTCACATATAACACATTCATCGTACCACAGGCTTTTTTCGCCTTCTCCAAATCTCTGCAGGCAAGAATCACTTTAGCTCCTCTTCGAGCCAGGTCATGTGCCGTCTCCTTCCCAATCCCTGTGAAAAATTAATCCTTTTGTACATGACCATTTTTAGCCATGTTTGCAAATAATGTTGTAAAAATACACATATTAGTTCCACCATGTCTGTCTGTAATTATCACGCTAAAGATGGAGGCAGTACAGTCCTCTGAAACATTGGTCAATATCTACCAGACTGCATATTGCAACATTCCAGAATTTGGCCATCTCCTAATGAACATAACTAAAATTAAAGTCCCTGCTGCTCTTAGCATACTACAATGCAACGTATAAAGGTTATGCCTAATGGTGTGATAGCACCAATCAGAATGAATTTGGATGGCACGATAAAAGGTAATGATAAACTTCTCAGTTTTCAAACTTAAGATAAAGCATGAACAATCCTACTTCACTCAGCACAAAATTTAAAATTCTCCTACACATTTGCACTGAAGTGTCTACAAATTTGATGATTCTGAAAGGCACCTTATGCAAACCACAGTTTTATTAAATGTGGTGTGACAGTTTTGCCTGTTAACTCTTGTTTGAAACTAAGATGTCAGTATAATGAAATTATATTTAAGATTTATGTAGAGAAAAATATGGTACATTGGTCATTACACTGTCTCGATATAAAGTGTACGCCAAGGACAGACTTACTGGGCTGATTTACTTTACCATATATATTATTTATAGTAACCTGGGGATGTATCTCTACCCCATTACCAAATTTTATCTGTATAGTTAGGTGAATAGCACAGCCAAAGAAATAGTTTTAATCAAAGTGTACTGCAATTGTAGCAGACTGATAATTAGTCCTCACCTGTATTAGCTCCTGTAACTATAACTGTCTTCCCATCCATTCGTTTCTTGCTCTTGCATGTTCCTGTTCTCAACTTCAGGCAAATCTTCAAAACTGAGGGCCAGAATATTTAGTATAAAGACAACAGACAACCTGTGACCAAGACAGCCATACTAATTGTGTAAACAGATAATCCTGTTCGTTTCAGAAAACAGACAAACAGGTAAATAACTTTGAATATAAAGAATAGATAAGGGAATCACATGACTCAGTTGTCACTGTTAGAAAGTGTTAATACAGTTAAAAAATGTATTTGTGTGTGTGTGTGCATGTGTAAGCCCATCCAATATATATCCCCCCAAATATCTCTGCAGTACAAAGCACCTGGATTTCAAGCAAGAATATCTACATTAATAGAAATCTGACTGGAATGTGTAATTCAAGGAAATCCACACAGAAACATAAAGTCTACTTTCATTTGACTAAAAGTGATATATTTCTCACTTTTCTGAACCTCTTGACTCGAGCCAAAGGCATTATGAGATGTCAGACTGTTCAAAGTGGTAAACCAGTAAGTAATCAAGACACAGTTAACTTTTAAAGAAATATGACAGTCCATTACTATTGCAGACCTATCCAACACACACATTAACACTCTATTTCTTTAGTATTTATTTTAATATTATCCCCCTATTTGTGCCTAAGTCTTTTATACGGCCTTTTCCATTCAGCTGTTTTGACTAAAAGTGTATATGTATTTCTCTTCTACCACATGCATGCTACATGCCTTGTGCATCACATCCACTTTGATTACACTGCCCTAATAATATTTGGTGAAAGTACAAATAATGAAGCTCCTAATCATGTAACTTTCTCCATTCTGTTAATTCCTCTGTCTGAAGTCCAAATATTCTCCTCAACATGTGGTTTTCAGACACATTAAATGTGTTTACTTAAGATGAGAGAATAAGTTTCATGCCCATGTAAGAAAATAGGCATAAGGTATTTTACTTTTTGTGTTTACAGATTGGAGACAGAAAATTATGAACTCAACACTTGTAACTGTTCCAGAATACATGAGACTGAAATAAAAAGCCAGAGGAATCAAATGCTTAGAAAGTTGGAAATGATATATTTTGTAGTACTTCTGACAGTCCAACTGTTATTAATATTGGGATGGATGATCATAATTTTACAATGGTCAACATTCTATGTCATAGCATAACTCTTTGAAAAATACTGAAAAGTCATGATTATGAAGGTCATATTTTAAGTGTCCACTGAAGATGTTTGTACTTAATGTAGGAATGCAGGTGGCACTACAAACATACATTATGCAAATTCACCAAGACAAAGCATGTTGTTTAACAGTAAGCAGCTAGTGTAAATAAAGTAAGTATACATTGTATTCATCATGGAGACCTTGTGCTAAAGGACACTTGTTTCTTTAATAGTTATTTATTCTACTGGAAGACTATTTGCTCTTGTCTACTATGAATAATTTAATAAAATTAATTTCAAATATCGAATGTCATCAGGTGACATTTTACAACTGTCACAGTAGCCGACTTCACTTGGACAAACAGATATGCTGAACCATCAAAATATATCAGTATCAACTATAGATCTTGTTTAGTATAAAGTGAGGGACTAGCTATGTGTGATGGACTGGGAGGAAGTGGTCATGGCCAACTTTATTTCAGAAATTTCTAGGGGGGGCTGAAGTGAGGCACAAAGAAGCCTCACATTAGATAATTGCTCTTCAGCACGTAATTACACCAGATATTTCCAAAATGTGACAGATGCATTACTGCTCTGCTATCTCACTGTCTTGGTTCATGTGATATTTTCTTATGATGTATCAACTGCTGAAGTTATTCAGTGTCACATTGTGATTTCTGAATGTAAGGAATGTAAAGAAAATTAGGAGGAGACTAAATTTCAGAAATGCTTGCTACTTTTCAGTTCAAAATATTTTGTCTTCCAATCTGATTTCTAAGAACCTAAAGATTAAAATATACAAAACAATAATTTTGCCTGTTGTTTTGTATGGGTGTGAAACATGGTCTCTCACTCTCAGGGAGACTGCAGGTGTTTGAGAACAGGGTGTTGAGGAGGATATTTGGGCCTAGGAGAGAAGACGATGGGGTCTGGAGAAAACTGCATAACGATGAACTTAAAAATTTGTACTCCTCCCCCAGTATTGTCAGGGTGATTAAGTCGAGAAGAATGAGATGGGCAGGGCATGTGGCGTGCAGGATGTATGGGAAATTGGAGTTGAAGGAGACTGGATTTTGTTGGCCCAGGACAGGGACCAGTGGAGGGTGTTGGTTAATTCAGTGATGAACCTTCAGGTTCCCTAAGCCATCTAGTTAGTTAATTAAGGGATGCAGAGGAAGTACTTGCATCCTGTTTTAAGGGTGAAATGAGGAAATGTAAGCAGAACCACAATTAGAATAGCCAGTTCCAAATATGACATTAGTTCCATTATGATACTTACCCACAAGTAAAATCACCACAACCCAGAAAGCATAACTGTTTAACACAGAACCCAACATTATCTCCTGTAGGCTGACACCAAACTAATTTGAAAGACAGGCATCTGCATTGGAATCGTATTTGGCAATCATGTGATTACTTAAGACGTTCTTGGAAAATGTTATGTCATGACTCCCAATCATAATACTCTGCTCATGTCTCACAAGAGTGGGTTTTGCAGTCACACTGTTTGTCAAACATAAACAAGTTCTCTTGAATCTATAGCTTATATATGACACTGAAATTGTTTTTAGGAATACAGATACACATGTATGTATGTAAGTTCACTTGTATATCAAGAAGGGATACACCAATTTATTGTAGTCTTAGCATGCTTATGTCTACATACAGGAAAAGTATTTTTGAAGGTTAAAAATGTCAAAAAAGGTGTTATGGACTCCATTTCCAGTGAAAATAGTTTTTATCAAGTCAGAAACCAAGCGTGATACAGAATGAAACACCAAGATGAAAATTGTTTTTTTTTAAGAGATTACAGGGCCAGAGGTCAAAACCCAAACTGTCAGGTCTCAAGTCCAATTGAAGATGTTTTCTGTATCTTAGAAACTCATGACAGAAGATAATCAACATTATTCACCCACCTCCTTTCATGTGGTTTCTTGCTAAGAGGGTTCTTCAACAAAATTCTACCTTTATATTTAGTCTTCCTAGTAATGTAAGAATAATACAGAATTAATACCAAGACTGACAAATAATATTCTTTATATTTACAGGAAAAACAAACCAAAGTAACTGATGAGGGTCCTACCAAGATATTACAAAAGGCAATGACTGAAAATACATATATACATCATACACACAATTGTTTTTATGTATTAAAATATTTGTTTATTACTACCACTGCTACTACTACTATATTACCACTGATCTTTTATTCTTACCGTTCTAAATTTCTTAAATTTACAATTGTACTTGGCATTTCTTTCAACTTCTGTTTCTGTTGACATGTATGTCTTTGGCACTGATACAAGAACTTTGTTGTCTGGCTTACAGATGTGTTATCTGTTGATAGCAAGAATTGATGTGATGAAAGCCTTCAGTGGTGTCTTATACTGGCATTAAAACATTGACCTCACAATTCATACAGTGTACCTATATCATTAAGTACAAATAGATGTAATCTATCATAGCTTATGTAATGTCCATGAGGGTCATGACACTGCATTTATCCTCAAGAGATGCTTTTGATACCATAAGTGATCATGTGATTACTGATAATGATTATTCTGTGGGTTCTACCTGTCAGGTACTGTAGTATCAGCCTACAAGAGATAATGTTCGGTTCTGTGTTAAACAGTTGTGCTTTCTGGGTTGTGGTAGTCTTACTTGTGAGTAAGTATCATAATGGAACTAATTTTATATTTGGAACTGGCATGTGACACTGAATAACTTCAGCAGTTGATACACCATAAGCAAATATCAAATGAACCAAGACAGTGAGATAGCAGAGCAGTAATGCATCTGTCACATTTTGGAAATATCTGGTGTAATTACGTGCTGAAGAGCAATTATCTAATGTGAGGCTTCTTTGTGCCTCACTTCAGCCCCCCCTAGAAATTTCTGAAATAAAGTTGGCCATGACCACTTCCTCCCAGTCCATCACACATAGCTAGTCCCTCACTTTATACTAAACAAGATCTATAGTTGATACTGATATATTTTGATGGTTCAGCATATCTGTTTGTCCAAGTGAAGTCGGCTACTGTGACAGTTGTAAAATGTCACCTGATGACATTCGATATTTGAAATTAATTTTCTTAAATTATTTAGAGTAGACAAAGTCACATAGTTTTCTAGTAGATTAAATGAAGAAACAAATCAACCTCCAGAGAAGTTCCCAATGATAATAATAATAATAATTTAATTCTATCATGTACAGCCAAACCCTGTTACAGAGCTACAGAATGGGGAAAAAATTATATTACAGGACATGACAAATCACTATTTAAGATCTAATACCCAATACATATAAATTTGTATCTCTTGTTTGCTTTGATTGTACTGGTGAATTCAATCTGTAAAGTGAGCTGTGTACATATTTCAAATAACAATTGTATTAAGTAGGATTTGAGGTTTTCTTTCTTCTGAATACTAACATGAAGCACTCAAGTTGTACATCAAGTTGATGACTGGGATATGCCGAAGCCAGAAACAGCTGAATGGGAAGACTGCCATTGTTACTGGAGCAAACACTGGTGAGGATATGATTGAGTCTTACACTACTTTATGACAAAAATGTTATTATAGCATCAAATGAGATGGGAGACAGAGCATGAAGCAAAAGCCAATCACCATCACATTACTTGCAAAACTTTCTCAGGGCATGATTAAGTACAGCTACATCTAATCTAAGTAATACTTTGTAATGTGTCATTGTATAAACAAAGGATCAAAAAGAAGATAGCACTATATTATATTTAAGAATTATCAGTACACAAGATAAGTCAACAGGCTCCTTCCTTCAAATGAAAACTGTTGGTTGTAAAAGAATTTCATAATCTTACATAAGGTACTTATAAGTATGAATTTACAATAAATTCTGTGTTTTAAGCCTGGGATGGGAAGTCCTTTGCTTTCTCTATATGCCACAAAAAACAATGCCTATGAAGTACTAATTTATTTCAGGTATTGGAAAGGAGACGGCCCTTGATTTGGCGTGTAGAGGAGCTAAGGTGATCCTTGCCTGCAGAGACTTGAAACGTGGGAGAAAAGCTTGTAGTATGTATTTGACACTTCACTGTACCACTTAAATTCAGTGAATCCAGTGTACATTGATGTTATCAGAAAAGTTTATTCAAATGCCCTAGAAGTATTCTAACTTTCTCTCCTTGATAAAACAGGTGAGATTATTGCGCAAAGTCACAACTCAAGAGTTGAGGTCCGTCAGCTGGACCTGAGTTCTCTAACTTCAGTCCGCCAGTTTGCACATGACATTATCAGAACAGAGTCACATCTAGAAATTCTTATCAATAATGCGGGTGCAGGGGGACTTGGACCAAATCGAACAGCTGATAATCTACAAATTGGGA